GGGGGGTTGCTATGTTAGTCGGTCATGGCCTGTGTAGCCTTGTGGATATGGCGTCATGTCCGGGGGGGGTGGGAACAGATGAGAGGCTTCCATGACTTGCTGAGACAAACCTCCCCTCTCTGTTCATATTTTCGGGATGGAGTTCGATCTCAATGGCTTCCCTAATGATGCGATCCATATATCAGGTCTTGGTGGCGAGGATGGAGGTATTCTGAAGCTCAATGCAGTGTCCCCTGTGTTCAGCTAGAGCTGACTTGTCGGATGTTCGAAACGGATGTGCCGCTGATGCTCCTTCAACCTCATGTCTACAGAGTGGCCCCTCTGCCCAATATGTAGACCTTTTGACCCACTTGCTTGGCTTATTTCTTGACCATGAAGATGGAGGTGGCACATTCCTCTAAAACACTGGCTGACTTCCAAAGGACTACACAGCGTTACATCCCAGAAGACAGACCTTTTCATAACCACCTCTGTGAGAACATCAAATCCTACCTGTACCACACTCCCTTATCATCCTTATTCAAAATTATTTACATCGTCAACATTTCATTATATTACATTTCTTCTGGAAGAACTACAGCATAGAATTAAGTTAAGATTAGAGACACTTAAAAAGACCTACCAAAGACCTTTCCAACTGAATTGGATTTAACAGAAAGTGTCATACCATTTTATCATCATGCATGCACAGTGTGTCCCATGAGGAAAGGTCAATATTCAGGAAGGTCATAGTATCAGTCACTCTAAACAAAAAACTGTACGTGTCTTGTGTCCTATTCTGAACAGTTTCCAAGACATAGCTATTTCACCATACTGTACACTGTACAGACAAGCAACACGCCATGTCCTCACACGAGTTGCAAAGTTCATTGATGTTGACGGTGAAATTTTCGAAAATGTATTATATTAGTTAAACTGTACCAACTTTGTCACTTGAACAGAAAACATCAGCATTAGAACAGTACATAGCATCTCTTTCTTACCAACTTTGGAACCGTACAGTGAAATACCTCTATTTCAGATACCACTCGAAAAACAACATATGTATATACAGGGTGTCCCAGGAGGAATGTGCCAAACTTCGGGAGGGTGTTCCTTATGTTAAAGTATGCCGATATAACCCAAAACACCTATGTCCAAAGTTGAACGGTTACGGAGATAATGGCCCAAGAAGTGTCAAACTTTGACCGGGGTTACACACTTGTTGATTACAAAATACATATTAAAACTGGCAGGAATATGTGATTTTTGTAATGTTAATAATGTACGTAACATCAAACCAACTTGTGAGTGACGGAAAGCCATAAAATTGAAGTACAAAATACTCGCTCGCCATGTCATAATTGTCCTTAGGGTTTCCAAGCACTATACATGACACATGAATGGCAAGCGCTGATGTAACATGCTGACTGCGCGTTCTGATAAAGCCAACTCCATAAGCACGGATAGGATGAATCACGGCAGTCAAGGACAAACAGAGATAATTCCTCTCAGCTGATAGGTATAATCCGTGGACCCGCTAGAAGACCACACTTTTCTCGGGCCATTATCTCCGTAACCGTTCAACTTTGGACATAGGTGTTTTGGGTTATATCGGCATACTTTAACATAAGGAACACCCTCCCGAAGTTTGGTACATTCCTCCTGGGACACCCTGTATATACACTTTTTTGCTTAGAATGACCTATACTATGACCTCCCAGAATACTGACCTTTCCTCCTGAGACACTCTGTATAGCCAATCAGGCTTTATTTGCAGCAGATTTTCCTAGAAGTACACTATAGGAAAAGGGACACTTGAAAATTTCTACCCTACAGCTGCAAAATATAGCTGGATTACAGTACATAATAGAAAATCATTACCTTTTATCCCAGTTTTTCTTTATATCACACTTCCATGTTCTACTAAGCAGCAAGGGATATATTCCAAATTACAACAGGCCTTTGTATGAGCTATGTATTTTCCACACCAGTCACATAAAAAAATTCCTATCTTAACAAAGTGGTACATTATAATTCGTTTCGTAACTCATAATTAAATTCCATACATAAAATATCTACTTAACAATGAACTACCTTCACATTGTTTAAGGATACCAACGGAAAACAATATGCTAATTCTTCCTGGAACCTCTTCGTTTCATATTAGCTGTACACTGCGGACAATACCACCTGCCCTTGGGTGGTGCTGTGATATCCACACAGTTGTAATGAAACCACTCAAATGGACACTGAAAAATGTTACCACACACACACATTAAAATGCTGTTGAAAACAAAGAAATGTATAGGCAGAAAACAGAGAATTAATCTTCCAGGATTTAACCAACATTTTTAAATTAAAATATCAGATTATGCAATAGAAGCAGTTTCCTTCATTCACATTTGGACACTAAGTATGGTAGTGACATGTTCTTCCAAAATGCCATGCCCTCTCTGAGCTACATAATGTCACAACCTCAAAGGCTGGTTCTTCAGTGTCAGCACCACGACAGCCTCAAATCCAACTCTTATCTCATTAAATGTACTACAGGAACTTTCTATCTTCCTTAATTAATATTAATTAATACAGCTGCACAAAGAGACAAATATAAGATAGAAAATGTCATATATATTAAAATTATGTTAATTTGTTGGCCACACCATAGCTCAAGCAGTTAGTCGCTGGCTTCCCACCGCGGCGGTCAGGGTTCGATCCCAGGGTCTGGTCAAGTGGGATTTGTGGTGGACAAAGTGGTGCAGGGGCAGGTTTTCTCCAAGTACTTCGGTTTCCCCTGCCAATCTTCATTTCACCAATTGCTCCACAATCACCCTCACCTATCATCTGGGGCTGGTACAATAGGCCAGAAGTGGCCGCAGTACAAGGGACTTAGTCCCACCCCACTAGCAATAAAAAAAATGTTAATTTGTTAATTTTTTCCATCCTTCATTGGGCTTTTCATTGTGCAACAGTGATTTGTGAAATGTTGTCACAAATTGTATAAAGGTCCAATAAATCTGATCATCAAATCTAAAACCCATTTTATAAGTCATGCAAACCCCTAATATGTGACAATATGAGGGATTTGACCATGAAAACCCACTGCTGAATCTTACACCTCACTATACAAGTTATAAATTCGGACCTCAAGATAAAATTCTATTGGTAAGCAGAACGTTCACATACTCCCATTCAATAACACCACATCTGCCTCATCATCATGTAACTTGCAGATGAAACATACTGTTCATGCTGTTCATAGTGTTGCTACATTCCTTCTTTAACTTATTGGTCATGTAAATATGCAAAATATACAAATATGGAGTAAAGAAAATCCTCATGCCATTCAATAACTTGCATTACACAGTGCAAAAGGAGTATGGTGTGATGCAAGTGTGTGATGAATTACTCGTTTCAGAACTTGTGTTTTGAAAAACTTGCTTATATGCTGTGAGGCAAATATGAAGGGAGAAGGAAGCATGGTAACCTTGTGTCACCTTTTTATGGTAATCAGCATTCAAGGTCTGTTTCAGCTAGACAGAGTCAATGGCATGGGCACAGAAACTCCCTGTGCTTTCCTTCTAGAGTCATGCAGTAAACTACCACCATGTCACCATAAGCAGCACCTCATTTTAATGCACTGTACTTCCTCTTTTCAGGAATCAACATTCAAACGAGCAGATATTTTGTTATATTTATTCTGTAACAATTTTAATAGTCACATTAATATGTTAAGAGCATGGATAGCATAGTCGGGATAGCAACTAGCTACTGGCTGGACGACCCAGGAGGTCGGAGTTCCAAGTGCCAGTAGGGTCAAGAATTTTCTTTTCTCTATGTCATCCAGACCAGCTCTGGAGTCCACCCAACCTCCTCTCCATTGGGCACTGGGTGCTCTATCCCGGGGGTAAAGCAGCAGGGGAGTGAAGCTGACCACTCACCTCCAGCTAGTGCTGAGGTCAAGAAAATGTGGATCTATACATCCACTCCCCCATACACTGTCATGGCATAGTGCTTAATTAATTAAGCAAAGGGACAACTTTACCTTATTAATATGTTATTTAAATAGTTCTCCTTAAAGTAATATTATAAGTGAAGTTTCGAATGTAACTAACCAAGTGCTAAAAGATATATTTTATAATTCTGGACAATCCTGTTTCACAAGTTGCAGTCGCAACCTGAAGTCCCATACTTACATCCTCATTGTCACATGCCACCATGTCGCCATATGACACCTGATTGCAAATACAGTATCGTGGTTCGTTTGGGTCATACGTCCAGTCAGGATTCTCTGCATTTGGATCAACATTCACATCTGAGCCCACTCCTGGATCAGAAGGCTCTTGTTGTGGAGGCGGAGATGGTGCAATTGGAGGGGGTAATGTAGCTATGGATGTGGCAGCAGCAGAAACGCTGCCAGAAGTTGACGATGCTGAAGAAGAACTAGACTTCCTGTTATGTCACAAAACAAATGTTACCGTTAATACCTTCCATTCATCTGCAAAGTCCCAGCACAGATATTCTTGAAGAAAGCAGTCTTCTGGGATTTGGCACCGTGTATATGTGGTGTTAACCGACGTTTCGGAGGAACGTATCGCCTCCATCTTCAGGGTAGAAGAAAAAATATAAGAATTCTGCAAGCGGAGAGACCGTGAGAACCGGTAAAAGCAGACTGTCACTTTCTGCTTTTACAGTCTGCTTTTACCGGTTCTCACGGTCTCTCCGCTTGCAGAATTCTTATATTTTTTCTTCTACCCTGAAGATGGAGGCGATACGTTCCTCCGAAACGTCGGTTAACACCACATATACATGGTGCCAAATCCCAGAAGACTGCTTTCTTCATAGTCACCGCCGTGAAAGCCTCAAATCTTACACAGATATTCTTTCTTTCCATTCACACATTAAGGGAGTCCAAACAGTGAACAAGGAGTTCAAAGTAGAACTTATAAACCCTACTTTCCTATTGCATAGATTATTAGTTCCAGAAATCTAATACTAATAGCACTGTAATTACAATTACAGGGTATTACAGTATACACAGCACAGTGGGCCAAGAAATCATAACGGACAATATTAAGAATCTCCCTAATCAAGTTACATAGGAGGCACAACATCGGCCACCTTGAAGAGAGACGACAGGGGTTATTGACACGAACCGTATGGTTTATGTATTTTAATTTTTAACAAAGTTTTTAAAACTTTAAAACAACTTTAAATATTTCTATAACCAGAAAGGCTGCCGTGAGTGACAGATGGAACATTGCGTACTTGGACATTACATGTGCATTTGATATGACAACTGTTGTGATAGTGGTTTCTAAAAAGTGTTTGGTGCCTCTGAAGATGATCCAAATGGATCGAAACATGTAAGGCTAGTGAATCATCAAGTGAGAAAACTGAAATAGTCACATTGGACGGACTTGTCTTTTGTAATTGTAACTGTTAGTGTGACGGACCAAAATGAAACAAATCAAATGCACTGTAATTGTATTTTGTTTTTGTGAAGAACATATTATTTAAGTACACATTCTATCTTAAGTTGAACTTGTCAGATATATATGTAAATTCAAATTTTCACGTCATCATTACTTTGTTATTGTTAATTTATAAACAATATGTTATGCACAAAGTGCAAGGTTTTTTATTGTAATCACCTTAGACAAATCTGATTAAACAGCAAATTCTAGTTACAGTCATGAATCAGCCATTCCCAAGCAAGTGAAGATATGAACATACAGGCGGACATTCTGCTTCACATTTATAATGTAACAACATACTTTTTCTGCTTCTTGGTAGTTTCCTGAATGGCTGCAATTGCTGTCTGAGCAGCTCCAGCCAGTTCTTTCCCAATACTAAATTCATGAGCATGGACTCCAGTGTTAATAGCTTCATATGAGGCCTTCAGACTTGCTGTACGACGTCCTTGCTGCATCTGCAAGCAACATGAATCAATCATATTGATAATGTGCTACCTGGTCAGGGCTATCCCACTTCTCAAGAGAAAGACCAGAGCCAGTATTTCCTTGAAATAGCTCCTCAATCATCATCATGAGGCTGAGTGGACCATACTTAACATTAACTAATTAATTGATATACTAATGAGTTAAATAACATATCCTATCACAAAGAAAATAACAAGTGCTAGTTCAAACTGTTACCTAATAGCCATTTGAGATGCAAACCGAAACTATTCATTTTCACAGTATGCAATGTCTGAAAGACTTTATTAATTGCAAGTTAAATTTCCTGTCCATCTTTTCCATCCCATTCACCATCAACATATGGGTACTGTCTGTCTAACATTAAAGCCTACAGTTCTCTCTACCACATCTAGGATGCATTCAGTGTGATAATTGTGGTTCAGTTTCTTTAACCACAATACTGATAACATGTGATTTGAAGTTCTCACAGGAATCATGTTACAATTACAATCTTTGATGCAATATCATGTGGTTTCATACATAGGTACAACATTTTGGAGGAATTTTCTGCTTCTATTTTCTTCCTGTTTACCAAACTACATAGTATCACACCCAAAAAGACCATTATCTTAACAGAGTAATTTAATTCAGTTCAGTAGGTGGTATTACAGTTTGCAGGGGTATTTCTACACATGTATTACTCAAATTCCATCATCTCTTTGATTTCTGATTTCCATAGAATTTGTACAGTGAAATAAATACATGTTTCTTTAATTTCCACACAAGTCAAGAAAGTCTTCTATAAGAACATAAATTATTTTAATATTGTGGTAAATCCATGGAAACCTTCCACATCCAATATTGCACATAGGTTTAAAAGCCTGTCAGCTTTCTCAGCTGTTTGTACTTGCATGAATGTGTAGTCATCATGAATTTGTAATGTGTGACATGTTTTATATCCAGCCCTACAGGAGATGATTGGATCCATGAAGTGAAAATAAATGTAAATGTAAAGCTTAAACTCCATGAAACAAGGTGAAGTAAATGAGTCACTGAAATCAGTGGAAAAAATACATTACATCTTCAACAAGTGGACACTATAACTGATAAATGCAGCCTGTCACACTGGTCCTAGAATTGATTACTTCCATTATCATACTGCAGATTCTGAAGGGTAAATACAACTTTAAGTGCAGTAAGAAAAACTATAATTCAGTAATACATTCATTACTGTTAGTACCTGTTGTGTTGCTGCAATGGCTTGAGAGGCAGCAGCAGCTATAGCATTGCCCCCAGCACCAATATGGCCAAGATTATAACTAACATTTGTTGTTGTAGTGGGTAAGGGGGCAGTTGGTAAAGTTCCTGAACTAGCTGACAGGGGTCTTGGCTCAGGTATTGCCACTGTAGGTTTCTCTATTGCAAGACGTTTCTCGGTATTAACAGTCGAAGCATTGGAGTCGCGCCGCTTTTCTGCAAAAACAATATAACAGCTCAATAAAACTATGGATGTGTCCTTCCAAATATATGTGTTGTGGGCCCTCATTCTTTCAGTCTCACTTATTTCGAAAGTTTTTAAATATTTGAATACATTGCCAGTCATGTTAGTATTAGGTTAAATAAGCAAAATCACTGTAAATCTCCATATAAACTCTGTACATCAGCTACCATTAATAATAATGTGAAAATAATTAATCAAATTGCATACCAAATGCATAAATTATTTCCTTTAATCCTCAGACATGATCATATTTTCTGAACATGTTATCACATGATAAACTTGAGTCACAGTGCTTACAATTCCAAATTCTTGTTTTCTTCTGCGTGTAGATTATACTATTGCAACATTACCAAGCACATTAGCTCAGCAGTAACATGTCTTGTAAATGCAGATAAGTGGTTCAGATTCCAGTCAATGACTATCCTGATCAAGGTTGAAGAAAACTTCAGTTCTTCCAAGCAAATACTGAGATTATTGCTTTAAAAAACACTACCTTTATTCCTCCTTCTCTTCAAAGTTCATTATCTTGTCTCATTCAGAACCATTTCTGCATCTTATACAGCAATATTAAATGACTTACATGTATGCACCACTTGTGCATATGCACATACATATGCATGCAGTCTGACTTTCAAATATCTACCCACATAAAAGTGTGAGCATACAAATACCTTTCAAATATATCCTTCTTCTTCTAGTACCCTATCTATTTTGAATGGGTCAATAGTCAAATACCTCTGAGGTACATATATGTATAAATATTTAGATATTTCTGGCAATAAAAATCTACAGTAATTAATTTGATCTTTTTAATTTGTGAGAATTTTTTATGTCATTTGACTAAAAATACTTAACAGTGGTAGAAACAGATAATTCTGTTTCAAGTTTACTAATTCTCATTTGTTTTAAAAGATTGTAATAGATTTTACAAGGTTATCTCAAGTATGGTATGAACATATGGTACACGAGCTTTTGTCTCTGAACTTGAATCCTTTTCTAAAAAGTTTTCTTGATCACTGTAAGATATTATAAAGTTCACACACAATATTGCTCAGGAAACATGCAGTATCTGGTCCACTACAGTCCAACCCTCAACACATTACATCTAAGGCAATATAACCTGACTAAAATGCCTCAAAAAACTATTATTAAAGGCTGGGGTTGCTAAACATAAGCAAATGCCAGCTTAATCAATCACATAAACCCATAATTTTGTACATCTGTCCATTTCTTTTACACAACATTTAATGTCATATATGCTTTTATTACAAAGAGAATACTAGAATTACATTAATGAACAATGAAAGGCAAAATTATATCATGAGTACCATGATGAGAACTTCTTGTTGAACTGAAGCTATAGCGATTCTCCTTCTGGCTGTTATTCTGCTGTGGCTGATCCAACTCCAGTGAACCTGTAATTGATACATACACAGAAATTAAACCACTCATACATTTAACATTTATTCAGTTTGCAAATTCATATGTTTAAGCACAGAAGAAAAACAGAAACAAAAATCATCAAAGACAATTCAATGTTGAGACGTTACGTTTTTCCAGCACTTCAGTTATTCCTTTATTGTCTGCTTCCAGTTCCATTTTGAATTTATGAAGTTCTTGGTCTAGTCTTCGTAAGTATCTTTCTACAAGATCATGCATTTGATTTGCTAAATGAACCTTCTCATCTGAAATGAAAGATAAACATAACATAAAAATAATTCTTAATAGCTAACACAAATGTGTGGTAAAAAAGCTACCTATCAATATGAGATTTGAGGTTTTCACAGTTGTTAAAATCCATTCTGTAATCTGGACTAAGATGCATGGTACAGTCTGGTAGAACGTTATAAGTGTTTGAAAGGAACATAAAGGCTATTCTATCCCAAGACTGGAGGAAGTATGATCCTCCAAAATGTTGATAGCCACCTACTAGGTTACACGGTATCGTAACATAAAAAAGACCATAACATTTTTACAAATATTCTATGTTCTGTGCATGTTAATAGTGGTAACCTTACCAGCATCTTCTAAAGTTTTATAATAATCTTTTCTTATGAGTTCATACTCATTTTCTTTATCTTGAGGCTTCATTTTCTTTGCATTTGCGAAGAAGGTTTTCACTCGTTTCTCCAAACTATCCATATTATCTGCAAAATGAATGAAGGGACTATAATAGTTCATATCCTATGAATTTATAAAACAGTTTATATATATATATAATACGGCTGTGAACTCAAGTACAAATTAAATATATTTTACAGTAAAATATACTGAGAAAACAATTAAAGGATCCTTGCTTCTGGAGTTTTTTCCTATAAATGCGTTATTAACTTACTTTGTACCGATAAATCCATTTCTCGCATTTCTGTAAATCTATCTCTTAATTCCTGAGGAAGATGTTCAATCACTGAAATTATAAAAGGAAAAGTAAATTAATGTGGAGAGAATTAGACGTGTTTAACCGCAAAGATTCTATATACTATTCATTCAAAATACATTGTCCAAATAATAATTAAATTTAGATTCAAACACGTGTTAATTTCAACTATTATCAATAAGCACATATAAATCTAACTTATTTACAATCGACTTAAGTTGTCTGACCTCAATATATGTAACCTTTCGGCATGTAATCTAAATATTAAACCCTTCTTATTCCGAATGGACTTTACAACTAGACGGTCTTACAAGATGCCCGAAAGCTAGCGGACCAAATTATTATACATACTTTCGAGATAATCTTCCAGGTATAACATTCTCAGTAAGTGTAAATTATATTTAAATAATGATCCAATGTGCAGAAAGTTAATAATATTCCACAAGTTTTTAAAATTTAAACTCTTATTTTCCAGTACATCACGCAACTAATTACGGATTTCACGGTACAAGAACGCACTTCTTTTTAGGTTATGTATAGGTGTAGACCATATTGACGTACAATGCAGTGGTCACATTTAAAACATTTCGACAGATGTTAAGTGAGAACTCTGATGGGATGTACAGTTTCGTCGTATAATTCTAAAGAACAATGACATCCTGCTTTGAATATTTTAAGAATGATGAGGCATTGTTACCAATCTATGAAGTTTATCACCATAATACCCTATGTTTTTTTGTGATTGTATGTTCTTTTAACTCTTTGTTCATTACAGATTACAATGATTCGCCGTAGCCCAACACGCATTGAGCTGAAGCTGGATGATATCCAGGAATATGAGTCCATGAGGCGAGAACAAGAGAGTCGCAAGGAGCAACAATCAGAGAACCATAGTTCATCTGTTGAGCCTTGGCCCCCCAAAACAAAACAGGAAATAATACATGAACGTATTGGCTATGTTCCACAGCCTCGCATCACATAAGAATCTCAAAACAGTGCATTTGTATGTTCATTGGCACTACGCTGTTGTATTTTACTGTAATATGAGAATGTGTTCAAGAAACACTGAATTTGAGATTTTCGCAGCAGTGACTACAAGTAGTTCTATCTTCTGGGATGTGGCATATTGTAGTCCCGTATAAGTACATCTACATGTTTCAGGAATGAACTGCCCCCATTTTCATGCTCAGAGATGTGGTATGCTTGCTTCTTGCCCACTGCATGCTCAGCTTATCCTTTGACTCTGAAGATGGAAGAGATACACTCCTAAAAATGTTGGTGACCTTCCTCCAGATAACACAGCATCACATCCCAGAAGATTATATTCATTTTAAAAAATAACTACAGGACCTGAAATTGAAATTCTGAGTAAAAAGTAAATAATGAAATTTTATGAATGAATATTTGTTTAGTATTGTAAGTAATGTACATGATTTGATGTCATGGTATCACATTTTTAAATAAATGAGAAAACATTATATTGTATTTGATAATATACTTTAATCTTCAAAGTATGTGCTCATGTGCCTTAGAGAACTACCTGTACAAGATATTAGGGAAATGTGTGTTCTCTATCTAGTAGGGCACTAGTAATAGTTCCTGCTGTAAGCTTTTCATATGTTAATATTGATAAGGTAACATGACATTAAAAAAAAGTCTGCAGTCCATAATTTATATATTGAGAATATAGTTACATTAAGAGTCCGGAACCTATCATCTTGTTTGCTATCTAAAAACATAAAAATTACAACATGTGGTCTGACAATAAAGTTTGCGACCTCATTGCTGAATATCAGTGGTCACCTTCAAAGTACTCCCCTTGGGAAGCTATGCACAGATGCTAGTGCCTAGTCCACCCTTTAAAACAATTTTGAAACTGATTTTGTGGAATGGCCTTCAGAGCTGCCATCATATTACTCCTGATGTCATCTGTCATCAAAATGCCTCCCTTTCAATATTTCCTTTATCTTTGGGAGCTAGAATCAGTGAATAGGGAGAGTATTCCAGCACAGTTATTTGTTTACTAGCCAAAAACTTCCTCACAGACAGTGCCGTCTGAGCAGATCCTTTGGGACCGTTTCTGCACACACCTTCCTTATGTCAAGATCTTCAATTAAGATTTTCCTGTTTCTCCGTCGATGTTTGCTCCTGACAGCCAACAATTTTCACGCACGACTTTATGAACTTTTGCTGTGTTGTCTTCAGTTCTGCTTGTTGCTGGCTGTCCTGATCTGTCAGTGAAACTTCCTCCTCCCTCATAAAAATGTGTCACCCACTTGTAAACTACTGTTTTCTTCATAGCATTAGCCCAATAAACATGCACTAACATTTCTCTGATTTTGCTTTCAGTCTTGCCACATTTAACAAGAAATTCATGTTCATCTGTTGCTCTAATTCAAGCTCCAACATTCTCGCAAAGGTGCACCAGAACACATTCAGACAATAATGGGGCCCACTGAGAAAGAGACTGCAATAAGATCAACAACACAGCTGTGAAACACTGATATGCCAATGTCATCAAACCATACTGAGGTTTCCGTCTACTGCTGTCAGGCAAGCACATGGTGATTTGTTCGTGGACTTTATTGTCAGACCTTGTATACAAAACTATAATTTTGCCTGTGGTTCTGTATGGGTGTGAAACTTCATCTGTGACATTAAGGGACGAACATAGACTGAGGGTGTTTAAGAACAGCGTGCTGAGAACATTTGGACTGAAGAAAGATGAAGTGACAGGAAGTTGGAGAAAACTGCATGAGGAGCTTCATAACTTGTGCGCTTCACCTATTATTATTATAATGACCAAGTCAAGGGGGATGACATGGGCAGGGCATGCAGCACAAATGGAATGCATACAGCATATTCTTAGGAAAGCCAGAAGGTAAGAGATCACTAGAAGGACCAAGACAGAAGTTGATGGTTAATATTAAAATGGATTGGATTGATCTGGTTGGGGATTGGGAATATTGGGGGGGGGGGCTCTTGTGAGCACTAATGAACACTCGGGTTCCACAATATATTGGAAAGTTCTGGAGTAGCTGCACAACTGCCGACTTCTCAAGAAGGGCTCAGCTCCATGCAATTAGTGAGTTAATAGCAGATGCTGATGGGGAACATTTAGTATATAAGTAAAGTGTAGGGTCTGCAGCTGCATGTGTAGTGAAGGAGACTGTATAGCTAAGTGTTGTGTGTTTTCTTGTTTCGACTGTCCTTACGGTGTGCCATCCCAGAGGTTCAGTGGACTGACACTAACCTGTAACAAACCTGATAAAAATATAGACTGTAATCTGTGAAAATTTAGATATACTTACTGGAATGGGAATTTAATCCTATTCATCTGGGCTCCATCAACAAGTATGCACTTGCTCTATCATTCCTACCAATGTTGAAAGTATCTCTGAAACTCAGTTTCTTATATCACAAACAGCTGCCTGTTGCATCGTGCTCATTTCCACAGCACTGAATCTTTGGCTTCTCAAGGTTCTTTCCAACCTCTGGATACAGAAAGTCTTAGGGAGGGTGAGTAATGAGGAGTCTCACTTGTGAAATAATGTTGTGTTTAGCTTAATAACTGCCATAGAAACTGGGCCATTCTCAACATTCCCACTTTTGCAGCTGTTCACAATGAACTGTATCATATAGGCATCTCAACACTTGTAAATAGAAACTCTGTTATAGTCTGACCTCATGGAGAATACCAATGCTGCACAAGGGCCACATAATTGAAGAAAACGACTGTCACTCTGCTGTTTGCTTTTTTTTTCTATCATGGTAATGAATGGGATTTCCATTCTGATGAATGCTATTGAGTTTCAAGGTCATAACCATGTTTTCTAATCAGTTATAGTTTTAAGAATAATCCTTCTTTTCTGTATGTTCAAGTTAGAAACCACAGCAAAGCATTTCGCTTTCTGTTTCTTCATCAGTAATAGTGGAGAAAACATAGCTAACATATGTCTCATGCCCAAACATTCAGTTACAGTGACCTGCCCTGAGCCATACGAAATTCATAACTCATTAACCACTTTACAAATAATCAGTCTTCTATAATTCCAAACTAAATCACACGCTTTAAGCTACAGGCTTATTTATCTTGAATAATATGCATCCAGGGCACTTTCACGTTTAACCCCCCCCCCATATAACTTTCAGTCATCACCTTCTTCATCTCAAAAAATTTAATGAACATGTTCTTTATGTTCAGGCATCATTAAATAGATCTTAAAGTGATATTCTTCAAATAACTGACACAAATGACTGAGGCAATGGAATGACCTATATACACAGGTCAGCAAGCAGTAACATTCCTTGTAGTTGAGTCATTATATAGTGCAATTTATCTGAAATATGAATTCAGTCTTTGTACTTTCTGATCAGGCTTTCTTATTTTTTGCAGCAGCATGAATTACAGCTAGGTTCAGATACGTGGAAGTTTAGAAGAAACTCTGGTTCTTATACAGTGCCTCCATGTAACTGTAGCATGTGAGAGAACAGGAAGCAGAAAGTTGGCCCTATGTAGAGAAGGCAACCTACTATAGCCGCAGACTGGACAGGATAGCATAATCTATCAAAACATAACACAAAACCTAACTTAATGTAACTACGGCTGCCAAAACACAATATACAAGAACCAAAACTACTTACTCATCTAGTATAAGCTGTATCCAAAATAAGAATTCCCAAATGTTACCAGTGTTTACCTTGCACTAAATCACCAATGCATAGATAGGGACACCTTTTCAAGAGTACAGAGAAATAGTACTTGAAAGTTGGTATTAATGATGCTCTTCTAGTCTTCAAATAGATTCCATTCATCTATTGCATCCTTACATCAGTCTAAATGACAAGCATACCTTAGTAGAAGAGATGAGCATCTTTCATACACAGTTTATCATCACTCATCTTTGTATACCAAAGCCAAATATGTCCTATTTTGCAAAGCACTTCTGGATATCTTCAATTTACCACAGAGATTATACAGACACCTTTAAAGGTTCCTTTTTTCTGTAGATATGCAACAAACAGCGTTACAGGTTTCTTGTTCAGGTATTATATATCAACTGCATTTCCACCCAGAATAAAATTTTCTGCCCCATACCCACTCTTCTCAAGCCCAGACTGGATGAAAGCAGAAGGTGATAACACTAAAGGGAAAAACTAAGGGGAGGAATTTCCATTTATTTTTATTAACACTTTATATTTTCATTCATTAAATAACTTAAATCACTGGATGATCTTTTTATCAAATTAAATTCAGTAACTTAATGCAGAGAGATCACAGCCTAAGATAGTCTCTGAAATATTTACAAGTTTTGTTTCCTGTCTCAGTTGTTCTGGGGAACTCAGTTGGCTGCAAATCCAAACATGCGAGCGAGCACTGTGTCCAATTCTCCTTTTCTTTTTGTACACATCAAAAAATATATAATGATTTACTCACTTTTACACAATAAAAAGTGAAAATAGAATCTGGGATGACGTTTTGAGCAAACTGACATTGAAAAACACTTGTTCACCATTAATGACAATTCTAACTTTAAAAGAAAAAAGTAAAAACTACTACTTTCTAGAATGCGAGATGTTCAACGACACATCATCCTCATATTATCCAAGCCAAGTGATAATAGACAACTATTTGCACGCACTCTGACTGCAAAAGGGAGAACAGCTAAGTACCGGAAAATGCGTTGACAATTTTGTAGGAATGACAGTGCACACTGTATCTATTATCTACACATCTGGATATTACTTACAACTACAATCATCTATGAATATTACGACGAGCCTTAATCTTTATATATACATATATTTATACTGCATCGTATGTATTTATAATAGGTACCTGGACTAAAATTCAAACAACAATACACAATGATTATTATGTTTATGTACAAAATATACATTGGTGAGGTGATTTTAAAATTAATGATGATGAATGCAATGTGTAGATCAGTCCAGAGTTATGAAGATGCAACAAGAATTTTACAATTGTTATAATTACAGAACTGTACATCAAGTAAACAAAACATCCGCTTACAGTCGCTCGTATAGCTACAGGAGGGGTGGGAGGATTAAAAATTCACATTCAATTTACATATTATCGGCATGTTGCACAGAACTCCACTAATGGAACCAGTCACTGTCCGCGCCATTTTGAACGTAATACAGGTGTGTATAAGATCCATTGTATTAGTATTTGTTGTAGCTGTTAAACTGAATGCCACATTTAATTATGTATAGTTTGTCAAAGTTCCTCTTTCAGTGTTTTCTCACTTGTAGTGAGGTGTCTTAAGTAGGTGAATTTCTTTCATGTCATACTAAACTTGTACTCTACAAGTCATAACTGGACACCATGCAGCTTGTAGCTGCTGATCACTGCGACAATCCAGGTTATATTAAATATAAAGTAAATCGCCACTTATCTCAAGTCGTTTTAAACTGACTGCCTTTGTAACCTGAATATCAGCATGCATAAGTTAACGTGGTCCAAGACATGTTTGAAACTGTGTAATTTTTACTATAACATTTTGGGAATGTAAGCTTAGAAAAGCATGCCCTGTATCATGACGATGATGATACTTGAAGAGCACTATCTTCTAAGGTGTGACATAGCGCAGTCTGGTAGAAGTTTCCTGATGGAGAACCATTGGTAAACTTCAACCAGACTACATGCTGTTACATTCCCATCAGACAGTATTCTTCACTGTCGCTGCCAGAAGATCCTCATATCTAATATGAATATTAAGATTCACGTTCTCTCTCCTCTCATATGTGAACCCAGCCAATCATACTTCAGTTAAACATAGTATGAAATACACAGAAAGAGAGATTACACGGAATTAAGCCCAAATTAATTTTGTAGAAAATCTACGACAAACATTCCCTGTACTTATGAATGCTGATACTCCTGGTAATGAACTGCTTCAGACTGTGGCAATGATAATGAGAAGGTGGGCAATATCTGCCACTCTGTGCAGCAGGTCTGGTGCAATGCGCGCCAAGTTCTCATTGGCAAAGTCACATGATGGGAAGATATGCACCACATATGCAGCCTGCAATGAACAAAAAAACAGTTTTTATTGATTTCTTCATTGAAAATCATATTTTCAAAATATATTTATAGGTTCATCATTTGCCATGCCAAAAACAGTAAAATTAAATGTTCTATGTTGTACTTAAAACACAAAAATGAAATGTAATGAATGCATTTAAAGTAGCAGGCTATCCACACAGTCAGTTATTGATTAATACCACTCAATACCACATATTTCAATGTGGTACATAAAAATATGGAGTCCATTAAACAAATTCAAATATCTATATCTATCGTTAGGTATACTGCACTTACGATGTATTAAATTTCACTTCCACTAAGAATACAGGGTTTGTCCGAAAAGTAATGTCAGTGAGTCGATTAAAAAACTTTTATGGATTAGATCGGTGCAACACATTAAAAGGCTTCAAAATAGGCTTCTTCTGCGTCGATACATCGATTCCAGCGAGATTTCTAGGCATCGAAGGCGTCATGGTAGGCCTCCTCCGGAATGTCCTTTAGAGCCTTGGTGCAAGCCTCTTTGACTTCGCCAACTGTCCCAAAATGATGTCCTTTCATGAGAGTTTTCAAGCGCGGAAACAAAAAGAAGTCTGGGGAGCCACGTCAGGACTGTAGGGCGGCTGGGGAACCGTTGGCACCTTTGAATTGGTCAGGAAGCGGGTCACGAGGAAGGCGGTGTGGGCTGGCGCATTGTCATGGTGAAGTTTCCAATCGTCCGCGATGTCGGGCCGGATGAGACAAACACTTCGTTTGAGTCTCTTTAGCACTTCCATGTAGAATTTGGCGTTGATGGTTGTACCATGTAGTACAAACTCACATTTTCGTCGGTGGTGCTTGTTGATGGCCGTCCAGCGCGGGCTTCATCGTCGACCTCTTCACGGCCTTCTAAAAAGGCCCTGTGCCACCGGTAGACCTGACATTCCGACAAACAATCATCACCGAAGGCCGTCTTTATCATGGGAAAAGTTTCCACTGCAGACTTGCCAAGTTTCACACAAAACATGATGGCAATCCTTTGTTCCAAGGAGCGCTGCATTGCGGCTTGCACGGGAGACAAAAACGAGTTTCACAGAAAAGCCTTTCGTCACTCTCAGGAAGTTCGGAGACGACTAAGCGACCGCGGGTTCATAAGCTGACTTCCCCCTCCACCGATCCCAACCGGTCTGAGAGTGCTGCGACATATAATCACTTCACAATAAAATAACTGACATTACTTTTCGGACAAACCCTGTATCTTTGGAGTGACATGACTCTTATGGTACACATACATAGGGAGGGGTGTAAATGGCTTTGGAGAACTATGTAGACCATTCATATGAGCAGAAAAGCCCAGGGTAAGGGCCTACACAGATTAAAAGGTAATTACTATAATGCAGGCGTGTGAAATTCTTCCTATTTGTGTTGCTGTCAGGAATGACAGTGGCAACGTCTAAAGACACTGGAAACAGCTTCCGTAAAATGAAGCGTCCAGGAACAGCTGTGGATATGAGAAGGAAAAGAGCAGTGCAAATACAGGGCAGCAGTCAGATAACTGGAGATTTTAAGGGAAAAGAATTAATGGTAGAGAAGAGTTGTAGAAGAGAGGTGAGCTGCTCATGTTAGTGATGCCACTGATGATGGTGTTAATGTGTTCAAATGAAGAAGACCTGTGGTGATAATGGGGCTGCTGTTATGAAAGTGGGACTCTGATGATTATGGGCCCGACCACAAGATGATGTGGCTATTAAAGATGAAGATCAAGTTGCTGTTTATGTTGCAAAGGGACTGTGGTGAATGCAAGGGGATCATGATAGTCACACTACTGGAAATAGAATCCTATTCAGTTCATAGCTATTTACTTTATCAACTGGTGTCTAACCTAATTTACCAGAATTTACTCATTCAAATGACCTGCTTTTACCGGTTCTCACGGTCTCTTAGCTTGCAGATTTCTTATATATTTTCTTCTACCCTGAAGATGGAGGCGATACGTTCCTCCTAAACGTCGGTTAACACCACATATACACGGTGCCAAATCCCAGAAGACTGCTTTCTTCAAGGATAAATATATTGTAAGACCTCACTAATTTGGATTAACTGGGAGTGAACCCTTGTCCAAACTAGTGAAAATCCAAAAAATGGATGTGCTACTGAATATATGTTCAGGAAAGTTATAAAATGGACATCATGTGTCTCTTTAGGCAATATAACTTCATTTTGAAAGTTACATTGAATATCATAAAATAAATTTAGTAGTCATAAAATGTAAAAATGTGTTATGTCGGTCTTAAAAACATTGTGATCAAGGCAAGGCTGCAAAAAAAAGGGGGGGGGTTGTCCAAATTAGTGAGGTTTCACTGTGGCTGCAATCGGAAAGTCTGAATGAAATTCAGATTTGTGTGAAGGCAAATGATCAGCTCAAAGTACTCCCAAGTACAAACTTTTCAATAAATCTTGTCAAATTCGCACGTAAAAATGTTTGAATTGGAACTTTTAATAAAATGTGAACACTTCAATAGCCAGATTATAGGATTCTGGGGTGTGACCCTGTATAGTCTCGTAGCCACCCATCAAATTACACAGTTTTGGATCCCAGAAGACCTTAGTCTTAATGTGCACAGCAGTGAAAGCCTCATATCCAACTTCAATAGCTATTAATTTTAATCAGAAACCAGTCAATAATTGTATGTGTTAAAGATAATTAAATTCACCCTTTCTAAATTGGAGTGTACATTAAACATGCACAAATATAATACACATCCTAAATTACTCCTTACACCACATACAAAATTCAAGAAGACAATCTTCTATCTACCCATTACCTAACGGTAAATGTTAATTAGTAGGTAGGATATGAAGTTCTCACAGCAGTGGTTATGAAAACTTCTATCTTTTCGGATAAAACGCTATGTAGTATGTTAAAAGCTGTCCAACATTTCAGACGAATGTGTTGCCCCAATCGTCAGGGTCTGAGAATTAGCCAAGCAAGAAACCAGTGTGAAGCATGTAGCAAAGAGCATTCAAAGTCTGAATAACATTTCCTGCAGCAAATGACAAAGGAACATGTCTAGATGAAAAAGAAAGGGATATTTACCTGCTGAGAGCCTGGTGCTGCAATGTTGACAATTCCTGCTGCTTGTTTTTGTTGCAGGTATGTTATAAATCCGGTCTGGAGGTTGTTTGACTGTTGCAGAACATCCATGTGATCTCTGCCACAGGGCAAGGCAAGCAACATGCAGTGCTCATTGTCCATCTGGCAACAAGAAAGCCAAACAGTCTGATGTTAAGAAACGGTATTATATCATACACATCATGTATAATAATATCTAATAAAGTTCCAAGGCTAAAACAGTAGCCTAGAGTCAAACTAACTTAATGTGTGCTAATCTAGCTATGTGCTAGAATAGAAGCAGTAAATAGAGACTTTTCATCTTATGATTTCTATGGTATTGATATAAGAGGCCAGAACAATTTTAAAACGGCACTTAATATTTTTCAGTCAGATGTAAGAACAGATCTGTTAAGGTACAAAACATTTCCAAATTCAAGCACTGTATTAAACTACCATAAGCCTTCAGGCTTAAACAGCACCATGGGCTCTAACTGTAAGCAGCAACCCTAAACTATGTAGGTTATCCAGAAAATAAGTTCCTGACAGGCTACTGAAAAAAAAAACAAGAACTTATATCCAAACCATCTATATTGTCATCTGATGTACAAACCGTGCACTACTTTTTGACATAGTTTCCACCATTGCTGGGGCACTTGTCATAGCAGGGCACCAGTTTTTGTATCCCTGCATCGCAGAATGATCCTGCCTGCAATTCAAACCATGTGTTGCTGGCTTCTTTAACCTTGTTGTCGCCATGGAACCGCCGACCAACAAATAGGAAAGTTATCAGATTCAGGAACACATGAAAATCACTTGGCGCTAAGTCTGGGATGTAGGGGGAGATGATCAAATTGTTCCCAGCCAAATGTCGCGATGAGATCTTGTGTTGTGGCAGCAGTGTGTGGGCAGGCACTGTCATGAAGCATCACAACACCCTGACTCAGCATGCCACGTCACTTGTTCTGGACTGCATGATGCAGTTTATTAAGTGTATCACAACAGACACATGCATCGATTGTTAAGCCTTGAAGCATGAATTCCATATGCAGTACACGTTTTTTGTCCCAAAACAATGCACATGATCTTGCGAGTTGAATGATCTGTTTGAATTTTTCTTTATTGGTGATGATGTGCGCCTCCACTCTATAGACTGCTGCTTTGAATCAGGAGTTACATGCAACACCCATGTCTCGTCCCCTGTGACTATGCAGCTCAAGAAGTCATCACCTTGCTCACTGTATCGTGTCAGAAACATCAATGCACTGGCGTGATGTTTCATTTTGTGTTCTTTCATAAGCATCTTCGGCGCCCAGCATGAACACAATTTCTGAAAACAAAATTTATCAGACACAATTTTGTGAAGAAGTAACCATCAAATTTGCTGAAAATGCAGAGAAGGTGATTAAATGGAGAATCATCTGTTCTCTTGAATCTTCTCTTCCACTGCATGCACCAAATCTTCATTAACCACAGATGGTCGGCCACTCTGTGGATCTTCATGCACATTTCTGCATCCTTCATTAAGGTGTCTCACACATCTCAATACCATTGAATCACTCATGGCATGTTCTCCATACACCTCACAAAGCTGAAAATGGAGTCAGCTGGTTTCATGTTTCTTGCATTCAAGAAATAGATTACAGACCGCATTTCAAATGTAGTGGGCTTCTCGATTTTCTTGAACATTGTAAACACACGGGGCAATGCATAAATGAGGTTCAACTGTCTGCAAATGGCATCTGTGTCTTCCCAAAGGATCAACAAATTCTGCAGGCATGACCACCGTCATGACCGCAGAGCTAATATTTGAGAATGGAACTTATTTTTTGGATACACCTCATACTTTTCACATAATACTTGAGTAGATAATAAACATGCAACTGAAGAGCATAATTTAAAAAAGTTTACATCAGAATGCACTTCTTAGCCACTAACTCCCAATGGTATTTCTATACTAAACATAACAAATGCTATCAAAACTGGGAATTACTGGCTTGTTGGAGTTTGTCCATCATCTGGTATTCCAAAAACCAGAGAACGCAACGTTTTGGAAACTTGATCTGATTACACCCTCTGCTAGCTCTTCCTAAGGGATCCAATACAGTATCTTCCCCCCACCACCCAAGGACAAAAACACATCCAGTTTCTGAAACACTGTGTTCTCTGGTTATTAGAATACAGAAGCATGGAAAAAGTCCAAACCTCCAGTAATTCTGAGCATTATACACCAATTTCAGAGCCCTTTAGAATTCACAAATTGTACCAACTACTGCCTCTTTCAGCTCTTCATAAATATAATTTATATTTCATGAAACTTGTTAACACACGTCTGCCACTGAATGGTATACTCTAAATTCTGCACATGATGATATGACGAAAGGCATTTCTGAAGCCTTCAAATTTTATCAAAGACATATGAAACATTTAAAAATTATAAAATATCAGCGTAGGGAAGAACACACTTACAAACATCTCTAGAGACACAGTTTTATTATACAGATAACTATTCAGTTGGACAATGAACATATGAAACATAAAATATCATCAAACTCCATGGACTTATATATCACAGACACCAGATAAAACACGTATGATTTCTGCACATGAGATGTTCTACTTTGTTACATCACATATAGCAAATCAGATAACTGAGAATGCCTCAACTAACCTGCATCTTCCTTGCAACACCATCAACTTGAGTCTGCTCAAGCCTCATTCGCTGTGCAATACGTAGAGGTGGTGTGCTGCCATCTGAATTGCAGGGAAGGGATTCACGTGCGACATGTGGATTCCCAAAGACAAAGTGCATCTGTACAGCAGCTTGGTCATTCTTCAGAGCCAAGAGGCCTTGCCACATGACTGGGTAACGCTACAGAACAAGAACCACCTACATCTTACACCAGTCAATTATGAGACCCAAAACCTACAACTATTTCATTTTAATATTGAAATAAATGATGAGATTTGAGATTTTCACAATAATGAAAATTATGATTTTGGTCACCTTGATTATGATTCCATGCAGATTGGTAGGGGATAACCAACATTTTAAAGAATTACCATAAATATGGAAGCAACAGGTTTCTCCAAGATGCTTGTTAACTACCCATCAAACTACACGGTATGAAATAAAGAACAACATAATCTTAATAAAATATGACTTGAACAGCCAAGATCTGAATGCCTGGACAGGATAACATTATATTATCACTAAATTTTCCTGGAATTACAAGCCACAAAGAAGGACTATTCATAGCACAAAGAAAAAATGGTCAGACCAAGTAAAGAAACTGGGAAAATCATAACAATGACACAATGTACACAAAGCAGTGAGCGAGAGAGAAATAGTACTACCATATTGCATAGTTTTCTAACTGATACTAGTATCTTACTATTTACTATATTATCACTGTACAATTATATAAACATTGTAATATTTTTAAAAACAGTTTCATATATAAGATAATTTGACAGAACAATTCAATACCGGTATAATAAAACAAAGCTCTGAACGCTCAAAAAACGGAACGAAAGTGTGAGCCAACCTCCACGTAACCACAAGTTATACAAGGGCTGTCTTTCTCATGTTTGAAGAATCCAGCAATCTGATTTTGAAACATATATTTCTAACAAACTGAAAAATAAATTGATATCTTAACTTAATTTAGTCCTATAATAGAGGAATTTCAATCAAATATTCTCCCATATTGAATGCATATTGAATCATCTCTATCTTCAGAGTAAAGCATGGGTGCAAAAATACCCAGTATCAGCTGTGGAAGAGGAACTTCAATCTGGCACCATACAGTAAACATTTCACATTACCTGAAGAAGCATAAGTAGAGAATCAGCCTGAGGTGGTACTTGGCTGGCATGAGGAGGAGTGGCAACCTGCAAGCGAGGTTGTGTAGCTGGTGCCTCGGTACCAGGCAATGGGTGATGATGATGTGATGTACGTAGATGTGCCGGCGGAGGTTCCGCTCCAGGTTCATAGTAACGTGGTGGTGGCGGTTGTGGTGGTGTGTAGTGAGGGAGGCGTGATGCAGCATGAACATAAACTGTCGCCACCTGTGGTGAGTCGGTGGTACGATCATGTGGCGACTGCAAACTGTGGGCCACAGTGCCTCCACGTGCCACAGCCCCATTGCTAGAAGGCCTACGAAGCTCCAATGGCGGACTGGTACCGTGCGCCTCATCTGACTCTGGCTCAGATTTCACCTCCAACCCTGCCATCAATGGTGATCTCACGGGCCCTGTAACCACAGCATTTCAATTTGGTACTGTGAATCATCACTGTGATTAAATATGGGCAACAAGATTAGAAGCTGGATGTCTATTCTTTCTACATCCTTGATTACCCATGAATGCCCTGGTACACCAACCACTCACACCAGGTTAAAAGAAAAAATTTCATGTTTGTCACTTGCTCTAATTCAAGCTCCAACATTCTTGGGACAGCACACCGAAACACAGACGATAATAGGCACCACTCAAAAAGAGACTGCCATAGATCAACACAGCTGTGGAACACTGATATGCCAGCATCATCAAACTGAAGTTTCTGTCCACTGTTACCATGGCAAGCACACGGTGGTGAGTTCGCGAACTTTATTGTCATACCTCATATATATGTAGAAGCGTTCGAGTGTGTTTACTAACTGGGCTTTCTTTTCAATGTGTAATATTTCTAATGTCTGATCGATTCTACTATGCATGTGTCCTGTGTCGAGTGTGTGCTGGGCATATTTTGATTTTTCTTTATTTGTTCTTATGGCCTGGGTATGTTCCTTAAATCAAACTTTAAATGTGCACCCAGTTTATCTGACGTATTTCTGTGGACATTTATTACATTTTAACTGGTAAACTCCACTTTGATTATATATGTCTAATGTTTCCTTTCTTGGTTTCAGGTGTTTTTTTTTTGTATTAGTAGTTTTGAATGCTATTTTTACATGTGCTCTTGAACAGTTTTGTTATCGTTCTCGTACTGGAGCCATGAGATGTGAAAGTAGCCCATTCTGAGTTTTGCATCCCATGTGAGTTATTGGTAGAAAGGCCGTATTTTTGTTTTGGGTTATTATTTGTTGGTGACAATGACTGTTTTTTAATATTTACTGTATGGATTTTAATTCTTGGTCCTTATCTTCATAATTTGGTAGGAGTTCATTCAGTTCATTTGGTACTTTATGGCGGATTTCTCATGTTCATACAGGTGACATGAGTTATTATGTATAATTAAGTCAGTATTGGTGGGTTTCCAGTATATACCAAATGGTTGTGCTTGTTTGTGATGGTTAAACTTACTTAATTTAGTTATCATGTTTGTTTTTCGACAGCGAATTTTATTTTTTGATGTACTGCTTTGAATTCCATTAAGGTGTTCTCTAAGTTTGTGGTGTGCGTGTTGTGTATAATTAATATGCCTACATATCTGTGATAGTCGATATCTGATGTTCATCTAGAATTCTTAAGATTTTTGTGTGTTCTAAGTACTGTCTGAATGTTTCAGCCAGAACTGCTGAGGTTCATGCTCCCATTGCTAGGCCTTCACTTTTCTTACAGAACTGATTGTTAAACTGTAAGCAGTTTTGCTCCATGATGGTGTTTAATAGAATTGTTAGTTCTTGTTTTTTGTTTTCTGGTGTGTGGTTATCACTACCAAGAGTTTTACTTCTATTATTGGTATATTAGCGTATATGTGAATTTTATTTTTGGGTGTACTGTGTTGAATTCTGTTAAGGTATTCCTTATGTTTGTGGTGTGCATGCTGTGTATAATTAATAGCTATCAGCGCTTATCAGCATTAAAAAACAATGAAGAAGCATTATAAAGCTCAATATGCATACCGAAAGAGAGAAAAATTTGTAAAAGTTCCGAAGCCATCAAGTAGAATAAACCTCCTGCACTGCTTGGTTATATGCAATGCAAGTGAAGAGTTGCTTAATACACATTTTTTTAAGCAGCTCATCAGACAAATAATTTGTAAACTAAAATAATCATTCTGAAATAGTACTTGGCTATTTAGAGTAAGAAGTGTTTCCTCACTTCATTAATATACATTCATCTTTCAAAAAAACCATTTTTCAATTTATTCAATATGACAAGTCGGTCCAAATCAAGTTTCAACTCACCTTGAGGTAAATAGCGAGGTATGTGCGCTGTCAGGGCTTCCTGATGTGCACGCAAGTACTGGTGATACATGATCTGAGGGTGGACATAATGTTGTGCCAATTCATGTGATGGATTGTGCATATGATGCGGAAAGTTCACATGCTGCACCACTTCTCCCTGTAAGCAATGAATGTTATCATCAGACACAAATCATCAACAAATAATGCAACATCAAATTCGAACAGACAAATAGAGTTTAGGAGCTAAAGCCTGGCATATATTCACAAGGCCACAATTATATACAGGTATCAGAATGCAACTTGGAAATTAGTCTTACAACAACACTGAATCCCATGCTTTCCAGTACTCCTCACTTCAGAAGTCTCACAGCATGTGAAGAGTTCTATCTTCTGGGATTTACCACTGTGAAGGCCACTGAAAGTCAACTAATGTTTTGGAGGAACGCATCGCTTCCAAAACAGCAGCCGACTGTCAATGGAGTACATGATGTTATATCCAAGAAGATTTAATTCTTCATAACCACTGCTGTGAGAAATTCAAAATCTCAAAGCAAGTGTTTGCCATTAGCATGTTTCTGATGAAGTATAGTAAAGGTAGTGTCACATTAGGTCAACCCATAAAGAAAAGGTGTAATTCTGATTCTCATATATTCTGCTCAGAGAGCTTAAAGTTTTAGTCTCCATAGTGCAGAACACAATGATGGCATATGAAAACAACTGTGCACAATGTATCTTTCTTCTAATATGATTTAGTAATCAGTTAAAAATTTTTTTTTGGACTGTTACTCCTGATATCTAAAAGGTACAGAAACAGTTTTCGCTGTCTCAGCACCGTGCGGTGAAGGCACTTATGAGGAAAGCAACCATGACTTCTCACTAAAAAGGGTGAGTCCCACAGTAATGCTTCTGATCTGCACGCTGAAACTGCCCAGTTTGAATCACTGACAGAACACCGAGTATCCCTACCGAAGATCTTTTGGTTTTTGTCAATCCCTATAGGATAATGACAAGCTGGTTCACAGCTTAAAACTGGCTATAACTGCTTCCTCACCAGTCCTTTTTAAGCTCTCTGAATGTGGTCATTGTCTCATATCATTTGACAATAAATAATATTTGCAGTTGATGCAGATCATTAACTGACTTGCAATCCACATATTAACCTCAGCACTAGATGAAAGTGACTGGTCAGCCTCATACACTAGGTTCTTCCCAGTATCCTTAACTGTATTTTGAACACATGGTAAGATCATGGGCAACTGCTAACAAAGATACTTCTTCACATTGTGACATCACAGCTACTTCAATCGGCTTAACTATGTACCATATTACATAACTCACAACATTCATTTATGGTGACTCATTATACCAATGGTCCTTTTAGCACCCAAACAAAAAATTTTAATTTTTAAGGTCATAAAATGCAGGTTCTACTATGATCACCAATGTACTACTGAATGGCAAAAGAAAACAAATAAACCTTCAAGTCCTGAAGCACTCAAATGGTGGAAATTTCATGAACTTATGAAGAAACATCATGCTATCTTCAGTCAAAATCCCAGCTGGTTTCAACAGTTGTGATAACTGATCACAACTGCTACAGAGAACAAAGTTTCATAAAGCTCAGCTGTAAATATCTCATACTGATGGCTAATTTGGCACGATATATACTGAACTTTTCACTTCCTGGAAATATTGAACAAAAATATGTCAAACTTAACAAGATGCAGGATTTTTATACTGTGCTAATTAGAAGGAAAATTTCAATTTTAACTTCAGAATAAGTGACCTGTCTGTAAAACAAGACCTGTGAAATCTGAAAATTGATTCTGTAATGACCTCTTTTTCTACGTGGAGTGACAATAAAGCAAGAAGCTCAAAACACATCAGTAACCAAAAATTGTTTTTATGTAGATTGTTTGAAAATACAGGGATACAAATGTGCCTGTCTCACATTCATGTGAAATTCAATTGCATCCACTCTATAACATTGCAAATTTCAAAATAAACTTTTATCATATTTCCAGCCACTGTTTCATAAACATGGCCAGAACAAAATTCATGTTACCCTATACAGGATGAACCAGGACCTCTGTTATAAACTCTGACAAGTGTCTTGCAGGAAGAACAATTTTTTGTCAAGCAACCCGTATCTTCCAACGTGTCATTTAGGAGTTATGCACCCCTGTTTGAAGCGTATCATGAAGGTATGTCTACACAGCCAGTACACTTTGACTCTGTTTATATTTACAATGTTCAACCAAGTGATTATGCCTTTTCCTCAAACTCTACACGACGTCTGTGTAGGTAGTCAATTACACTAGCAATTACTTGTGATCATTAATCAAGAATGGGCGTCGTTGATTTGCAAGAGCTTACCAAAATGATAATGTGATATAGGGAGAATAGAGGAAATGGACGAGAAGCTCTCCATATCTACCAGCTGCGGTTTCCTCACAGAAATCATCCACACCACAAAGTGTTTGCTCAACTTCATCAACACCTTTGAGAAATTGGGTCTCCTTGTCCTCGGCAAGTTGGTGGAAGACAGCAAAACGTGAGGACACCTGAGTTTGAAGAATAGGTGCTTGCAAAACTCTCCAATGAGCCCTCAACTAGCATGGGCACAGTTCAATCATCTGTGTGCAGTGCTGCAGGAACAAAATCTACATGCATACCACCTCCAGAAGGGACAGGGACTAGAGCCAGGCAACTTTGCACCTCATGTTCAGTTTGTCCAGGGATTTCTGCAACGAAGTATTGCTGATCCTGCCTTTCTTGCACGTGTATTCTTTACTGATGAGCGCTGCTTCACATGAGACAGGTACTTCAATAGCAGGAATAGCCACATCTGGGATAATGAGAACCCTCATGCAGTGTTCATTAAGAGTTCACCAACAGAGGTCTTCTGTAAGCATCCAGGATGCAATTGTTGGTGATCATCTGCTGGGACCTGTCACTTTACTGCCCTGTTTGAATGAAGCAGCTTACCTTGACGTCCTTCAAAACATGCTTCCATCGCTCATGGAGACTGTATCCTTCGTGGTGTGCAGAGACATGTGGTTTAAGCATTATGGCACCCCACCGCATTTCAGCCTGGTTGTATGACCACATCTGAACAACACCTAACTGGCACAGTGGATAGGGAGAGAGTGACCTGTTGCGTGGCCAGAGCAATCACCTGACTTAACGCCCCCAGAATTGTTTCTTTGGGGGCATGTGAAGAGTGTCGTGTATGCCACACCAGTTGACACCAGAGAGGAACTGACTATGCAAATACACGCTGCTTTTGAACAAATTAAACAGAGACCTCAAATGTCTGACAGAGTCCAACAATCACTGTAATATTTCATGACTGTAAACGTCACCCAAGACCTGTCTTCTCTTCAATGTTGCATAGCTCATACGCGACGCGTCAAGAGAACATGGGTTGCCAGACAAAAAAAGATCCTCCCTGTGAGATCTATCGCTCCTCAGAGTTTGTCGCAGAGGTCCTGGTTCACCCTGTACAAGCATAACATCTTGATTAAATACTTTAATTAAAAAGGAAACCCCTTCAATGAAATGAGACTAAAGAACTACATACAATATCACAACTCATCACATGTTAGTAGGAGACAAATGTTACAAAGCATACAAGAAAAAGGAAAGTTAGTTAAGCAAGAACTAGAGCGAGCACGGGGAAGATGTTACCTGTTGGTGTGCGGGCGGGGGGGACTGCTGCCTCTGTGCCAGTACAAACTGAGGATTCGGAAGTAATTCTGCCACCACCCCACCAGAACCTGCATGCTGCTGCCACACACAACCCAGAGTTAGCACACGCGCACACACACACCCATGAGGTAACCAGCAAAACCTCTCTCACAAGCATATAAGTCATGGGGGTTGATAATAAGTTGGGAAATTTTGACAACTTTAGTGACAATAACTGGCTTTGAAATATGGCACCATATCAGTCAGCCTTAGTGAAACTTCTTGAGCCTTTTTCAAAAGGATGCTTGACAAAGAGTCTATGAAAACTATCTCAAAACTTCTGTATCATTACTGCATATTATGGGATACCATTATCCAATGGTTTTGTCAATATATGACATTCTGTAACGGTGTACTAGCAACATATCTCAGATTTCATTTAAATAATCAATTAAATAAAGCATCAAAAAGATACACAGATCAATTAAGCTTGCTCATGTAGGTGTTGCTCCCTGCACCAAATGTTCCTTATAGAGAATGTACTGCAATTTTGTAGTTTCAAATATTTCAGTGTAAATCATCCCTCTAAATATATCCATAAGAGAATTAATGTTCTTCTAGCTTTTGAGTGTTCACTATTCTTGTAAGTTAGCAGGCACAGCTTACACTTCCTTCTTCAGATACTTTGCTTTTTTGAGGTATCAAGATTGTAAATAGATCAACAAAAATTGGTGTCCAAGTGTCAATATGTTCAGAGAGATTTCACTGTCATTTATTTACATAAATAAATATATTTCTTTTAAAGCATACAACACAGTTAAAATGCCTACTGTTATTATCCCAATATTTCAGTTCAGTATAGCACCACTATTCAACTTAACAAACCAATGATGTATAAAGGAGTTTAGCTATCAAATACACACTGCTACTGATTATTCAGTTCTAAAATACAATAACACAAATGTTACAGACGGTGTCACGTAACCTTGAACAAGGCCCCGCATTCCTAGTCAAATCCCGCGCAGGAGTAGTTTCTTAACACTCGTTCTTCCCTCGAACCCACCCCCTTGTCTGAAATATTTCTTCTGCGCATTAAAGGTTACGCTTGGCCTTGTTCGAAGTTACATGACACTTGCTATACTGTAAGCATACAGCATCACTCTGTTATTATTCTTCTTCTCAACATGCAGAAAAAACTTGAAAAAGACAATGGTATGGAACGTCAAACTATGGAAAAGAGACTGAGTCAGAGATAAAGATGGGACACTACATATGACATGATATGATATACAATATTTATTTGCACAGTAACTGCATTTTTCTCCTGTTTCATTTAAAAAGTACTGATATTAAGCAACAGGAGTTTTCTGAAATTGTCTTTCACATTTCTACAAGTTACTGCAGCGGAAATATGTACTTTACTGCAGTGGTTTTTACATTGCAGGCACTGGATGGAAAGTGAAGATAGTAATTCTGCCTTATCATTCAGCAGAACATAATTCCAAAATACAAAGAAAAACTTTAATGCAACAAGATGTCTGTGTCCACCACTCTTGTTCAATAATATTAAAAAATGACTATTAAGGAAAGGGCATAAAGAGAAAACACTTACTAGAATCATAAATGAAACAGCCATTGGGCATTCCAATAGTTTAAACTCAACCCTTTATCTACCAGACCCTAGATCACAGTTGTCTGCTTGGAGATGAATGCACTTGCTCAGAGAGACACACAATATCACTCAGATAGCTTTCATATGACAACAGGTATACATAATGTGAAAGCCACTTTGCTATAAACATCGATATACCACACCTGAAGCCATTCACTGAAAGAAACGCTGTACTAGGCAATTAACTGATCTAATTGGCATGTGGCATGCAAAGGGTTATGTAGAAAATAAGGTAACAAGATCAAAGCTGGAAACCAGACAGTGGTAAGGGCTGTTAGCCAAAACTGGTTGCCTTAAAATGGAAATCACAGCCTAAAATGTACAGACTGTCTCATTTTGAAGATAAAAATCTTCGTGCACCGCAACAGATTACAAATGATGCAGTTCACTCATTCTTCGGAATATCCCTACTGAACAGACATATTAGGCATCACAGGGAACAAAGAAACTGTATCTATAAGGTGAAAATGAAGAAGGGAACATAAATATATTGTAAAAGACATATTAAATTCATCATGCAAGACTGAAGTTTGGAGGATGGAGACTGGGAGAAAAGATCACTGGCAAAACTGAAGACAATAAATCCATGAAGGCATAATGAAAATAAGTGAAAAAGCAGAGACAAATTTTATGTAACTTTTTGGGGCACAGTCTTCTTGAGAACGTAACAGTCATTTCGCTAGTTAACTAAGCCCCTTCCTTTTTATGAAACCCAAAGGTTAATTACATGTTCACTGGAGGCCAATTTTTCAAATGATTACTTTTAACAAAACATGTTTTAAATACTAGATTTTTAAACCTTACAAGACAACACATGCACATAACACATGCGAAGCATTTCCTTTGAAGTGTTGGTCGCCTTCCAATGATGGCCATCACTGGCCGAAACATGTAAAAGATCTATTTTATTTCTAAAAGCACTATCGCACTTGACAGAATTCAATGCTAATTTTACTTATGTTACAGGACAATGTCTATCATTAAAACAAGTGGCCTGTCTAATTGCTAATCTGACACCAGGGACCAAGACTTAGGAAGACCAAAACAAAGAAATCCTCAACCAATCCCAAACTCGGTTTCGAATGAAGAACCCCTGAAATATGCAGCAGAAGTGTTTGTTCAAAGGTGGCCTCAAAGGTTGTCCTTCAGCAAATAAACATGTTATTCAGGACCTAAAAAGAAGTGTTGCACCTTCCACCTAATACAAGATGATTTTGCAAGCCAGTGAGAAGAAACTCAAAATAATAATTTTTATAATTTAGTCAATTTTCCATATTTTTTAAAAAAAATATGTTAATATGATGGGAGTATCTTTCCAAACAAGAATTTACTCAGCTAAAAATTCTTAAGCACTGTAAATATGTACAAAGAAAACATTTCTTTTACATAATTATTTTACTCTGTGTAATACAGTGTTCTTACAGGTTGTTTGTAAATAGCTGAAATAGCAATGCATTTACAGTTATATTGGTATTAAATATTATACTCATGTTATGTTCTACACCTCTGGCTTATTTCCATGGAAGATCTATGGAATTAAAAAAAACTCTATTCAACAGTAACCATCTGATTATCCATGGAGATATGCAATGAGTGGCTTATGTGTGTCTTTCAGGAGAATTCGCAAATCCTGAAAAATGCCTATTATATTCACTAAGACTGTCTGTATGCATGAAACACCTCAAGAACTGTTGGTTGGATTATCATGATACATGATGCTGGAAAATTTTGCAAAAAACTATCAATAAAGTTCTACGTGCGTATCTGCATGTATCTCAAGCAAGATCTTGTTAAATACATCACAGAATAAATGTTTCAAAAAAAGTTATAGAGGAAAATGAATCACATTGGTTTGTGAGGTAAGTGAACAAATCATATGTAAATTTCTAAATTTCCATATTCAATCATCACTGTTGTCTCCTGAATTCATCCAAAACCTCCATCATCCAAGCTTCTTCATTTACTGTGTATCTTTCGCCTTCAGTAATACGGATAATCAGGAGTATTCTCTAATTTATTCCAAATATCTTTATTTTCACGAATGCTGAGAAGGTTCACAATATGGCAGCGTCTACACAAGCGCACAAAATGTGTCCGTTGTAACAAACGTACTTTGCTGAGGACACACAGTTGCAGAATGCGGTGTGTAGTTTCATTGCAGACAAAAACTATGCACTGCATTCTGCAACTGTGTGTCCTCAGCAAAGTACATTCGTTACAACGGACGCATTTTGTGCACTCATGTAGACGCTGCCTAAACAGTGGTAATGGTGGGCTCTGTAGGTTACTTAAAGATAATTTCAGTATCAAGACTATACAGCATTGACTTGTAGGATGACTGCTGAATACTAAATTGGGAAAGATTTGGAATGGAGCAGTCATAGCCTAAACAAGGCACAACCTTATCATTTGCTTGGAGGGACTGAGGAAAACAACGAAAACCCAGCAAATGGGTCAAGATTCAAATCAAGTACCTCCCAAACAGAAGTCTTCAGCATTACCTCCAGATTAATGACTTCAGGGTTGTGGTGGTGATGGTGGTAATGATGATGATGTCATTCTTTCAGTGGGTTTGGAGAGAAACAATTTTTTACTTTGGCAAGCAGGACTTGGTAGTACAATTTTTCAAGCTGTGCTGGTAAAAAAATCATAGTTGCTGCTGTAACAACAGAATTCTATTCAAAGCATAATAAGTATGTTAACTACTATAAAATACTTGGAATATAACAGTGAAAAGTAAATGTTCCGGTGTTTCATGATTACTCCAGATCCAAGTACTACAAATTTACCTGCTACTAGTATGATGTCATGTTCACCCACAACATGAAATGTAAAGAACTGTGTGTAATGTTAGTTAGAATTTCGCTACTAATGTTACAGTTTATTGGTATGCAATAGTATCACTGTGCACAGAAGGAAGGTTGAACAGAAAAGCAAAGTCAAGGAAGAATCTGATACTGAATCTCTTTTCACCTACCAATGAAGCTTCATACGCTGGTACAGGCAACCCAGCCTGGAGAACCTGACCACGCGTCTGTGGGCTAGCAGTGGGCACCACGATACAGCCCCCCAATGACACGTCCACCTTGGGGGGCTCCATCATCCCTTTGCCATGCTGTGTGAGATGGGCACTAACTACATTTGGCATCTGCAGAAATCAAACAACACCCTTTTGTTACAGAACAACCATATATGCTGATATCGTGAGTGGTTACAAAACCAGAATAATTTAACACAGTCACTAGGAACTAAATACGAAAGTCTGTAGTTCATGTCCAGCCAAGTAATCTGACTGCATAATTGTGTTAATGTGTGAGATCTGGGGTTCTCATGGCAGTGACTATTATGAATACCATCTTCCAGGGTGTCATGCCATGTAGTCTAGAAGAAATCTACCACGTTTCAGATGAACTTACTGCCTGCATATTCCAGGCCAAAAAGTATACCAAGAAACGAACATGCTTCAGTTGTGTTATGCTGCTTAATGTAAAGAACAGAATTATTTCTTAAAGACTACTTTAACACCAAAGTCAGCATCATAAGATTCACATATTTTTGCAAAGAGATCCAGAAAATAAATCTAAATTTTCTTCATTGCAGAAAGTTTGTAATATAACAGAACTGCATATATTTTCTTTATTTGCAGATGATTCTGGAGGAAAGCTTACCTGAGACTTCGGCACAGCAGCACGAGAGCTGCTAGCCCCTGTCACAACTGGCTGTTGGCTCGAGAGCTGCGGTGCCTTCAATGGTGGACTAGCTACTGCCCCCGTCAAGATGGGCTGCTGTGCTGGACTGTGATGTGCTTTTGGAGGATGAGGTGGGCTCAATGTGGGCACTTTACTACCCGCAACACTCATTAGTGATGAATGTGGTGACTTCTGCTGAGGCACAAAACTGGATCCAGTTTTGGGTGGACCACTTGATACAGCTTGCAGTAAGTGGGCTTTAGGTGTAAGGGCTCCTGGTGATGGGGCTTTCATGTTGACTGCCATCTGCTGGGGTTGAAGTGGTGGGGGGCAACTGAGATGATGGATCTTGCTTGCAATTGGCACCTGCCCCTGTCCAGGAGCCACGACAACTGTCTGTCCTCCAGGAGACTTCGTTCCTGTCACTGCCTGCAGTAAATGTGCTTTAGGATTGATGGCAACTGCTGACTGAATGCTCTTGGCCACACCTACAGGAGACAGTTGTGATGGTGTCTGGTGCAGAAGGACATCTCGATTCTTAGAATGTGACACTGTTGCTGTAACTGGTACGGTCTGGTTCTTCATGGATGGCTGAGCAATAGCATGCACCTTCACTGCTGAAGACTGCAATGGCACAGAAGGCTGGGCTGTAGAAGCAGCTGAGGGTGGCAGTGGTGGCAGAATTGGCTGGACAACTTTTGCTGTGGTACTAACCGACTGTGATGAAACAGTTTTGGCAGTCTGCTGTAAAACATGAGCTTTCAGTGTAGTTGGCACAGCTTTGGTACTTGAAGTTGTCTGGACACCAGTTTTGCAAATGCCAACTGGTCTTAGTCCCACAACAGAAGGCCCAGGTGGTGCCGTGACAGATGTAGTGGCCACAGGCTTTGGCACAGAATTGGAGATCACCGGTACATGGCTCTGTTGTGCCACACTAACTGCTGGCATCCCTTCCTGAGCAGGTATTCTTGTTGGTATTGTGGGCACACTTTGAGCACGTGTCCTTGTTCTATCTGCTTCTACCATAGTGCAAGGCAGTTCCTGAGATTCTGAAAGCGACCTGGTGGTAATCTGAGGTGTCGATGCCATAGGAATGATGACAGGAGCTGTAGTCACTGGAATATACTGTCCCTCTTCAGATTCCCGCATTGGAATCAACAGTCCAGTTACAGGATCTATCAAAGTTGTGGGCTCACCCTCATCTTCTTCAGTATGAGCTTTTGCTGCTTTTGACCCTGCAGGAGTGTCAGATTCATCTTTCTCAGACAGATGTGCCTTGTCAGAAGCTGCAAATGAATCTGGTGACTTGGCTGAGCTAGTGTCCATGTCTTTGTCAAATGCAGGAGATTCCAGTCCCTTGACAGCCACTGTTTCATCATCTGTTTGCTTCTTTTTCTCCTCACTAGACTCTTCATGTGTTTCTGATAACCTACGTTGCTGGGCTTGTCTCTTGCCACCACGAGGGGACTTTCTTGGTTGCTCAGGTACTGTAACGGGTGCCCTCTGATTGGCGATATTTTGTCTTGTTGAGCGCCTTGGTCTTAACCCAAGACCTGCAGCATTTGCAGCAGCGGCTGCTGCAGCTGCTGTGGCAGAGCGAGTAATCTTTCCTGCACTGCGTACCACATCCTCAATCACATCATCTACTGTACTTCGAGATCCATCCCGCTCCTGCAAACGTCTAGATTTGCGAGTCACCGGAGATGGAAACTCTTCTCTGGTCTCAACCACTGGCACGGGTGCTGGTGCTGTCTTGGTAGCAACCTGAACCTCCTTCCCTGTAACACTACTGACAGACACACTGGCCTGAGGACTCTTGATGGTCAGTATCAGCCGCGGTCGACCTTTCTCTCCACTGTTGCTTCCTTCATCCTCAGAGTCATCATGGAACTCATACACGTCAGTGGTAAGCTTCTTGTTGGCAGGAGATGAAGACTGATCTTGGAGAGATGCTTTACTACCACTTCCTCTGCTTCTCCTTCCACCTCTCCTGGAGGAAACAGGGGTTACTGAAATACCTTCACCTGCAGCTTTCTGACCACCAGATAGTCTGGATCTGCGTGTTGTAACACCAGTTATTCGAGTCTGTGCCTTGCCACGTGGCCCACCTCTTCCTCCACGGGCAGTAGATCGTACAGTAGGTTGTCCACTCACTGGACTTTGCACATCAGTGTTTGTGTCCTGTGCTTCATCTTCTGGTGAAGATGTCACTTGCTCTCTTTCAGGGGATGATGAAGGCAAAATTGGCTCATTCTTATCATCAGGTGATGTGGACAGTGCCGCATTGCTATCCAGTTCCTTGGTTGGGGTTTTGGCTAGAACACTTTCTTCCTGTTCTTCACAAGATTTGGGCTGATCCTTTTCCTTGGTTTCATCAACATCCGCAGTATCCAAGACTGATTCTTGTTTGACAGGCTCAGTTTGTGACTGCAGGTTTTCGAGCACTTCATCTGCAGACTCTGCATCTTTTTTCATCTCTTCAGGAGCTGAAGGTTCAACAGCCTTCTCTTTGAACTGATCAAACCAAAGCTTGTTTCCAATCTCATTCACATTTTCTGGCAAATCACTTTGTGGACTCACCTCATCACCAGAACACAGTGCATCTACCTTCTTTATTACTGACTCCATGTTTACCTCCTTAGCAGACCAAGCATCAGTGATATTATCCCTGTCATTTAGCTTATGATCTTTATGAAGTGTCAAAACTTCGTAAGTGTCCTTACAAGTTGAAGACTCGGATGTTGGGGGAGCAAATGGGCCCTGTTCTTCTGCACTCTTAAATTGATTGTCTGCCTCCTTGATAAGTGACAACACCTCCATTTCGCGCTCCTTGAATGGACTGTAACCACTTTCAGCATCAGTCTTCAATGCAGGTCTGCTATTATCATCAATATTGAGCGCTTGGGTCATTGAGTCTGACGCGAGTAAGTTGGTTACAAAGTCATTATCAGCCTTCATATCTGTTTCAGGTTCTGAAAAGTCTGATTCTCTAGCAATATCACTAGCATGTTCTTCCTTGATAACAGAAACAAAACCGCTGTCTTCCTTTCCAGAAGAAACATAGCTCCTATCTAGACCAGCAACACTTTCACTGCTTTTGAATGCTGTACTGTCAGAGTCTTTCACGGGCTTGTAACCACAATCAGTGTGACTCTCTTTGCTTGCAACATCCTCATCAAATTGGTATGGCCTGAAGTCACTGTTACCTTCCTGACATTTTGGTTCATCCTTCAAATCTTTCATCACACTGTCTGGGGCATCTACAGGAATTTCATTTGGTGATGAAGGAGTAAGGGGGCTTGATTTAGATATGACAGGGCTACGACAGGGAGAGGTAGGTGGCTCTATTTCTAAAGGTGCAACTTCCACTGGTGTTGGCTCTAGCTTCACTTCAGTGTTCGGGCACATGTGGCTTAGGTCTACCTTGTCTTCTTCCTTGATTTTAATGCTTCTAAGGTTGTTGTCATCTGATGGGATAACACCTTCATCTTTCGGTTTGACTAATGCCAAATCTACAACTTTCTCTTCAACTTCTTCCTTAGGTTTGAATGTTATGCAAGGTGGCATTGGGATGACAGTCCCATCACTTCCAGCCATCACTTGAGTTTCTGACACGAGATCTTCCCTTTGTTCGTGAACAACATGACTGTCACTGGTGTCACAGGAAGAAGCGGCAACTACTGGTGCAGTTTCAGGTTCTGGTTGAGACTTAAGATGTTCACTTGAAACTGGTCTGTCAGGTAACGATTGATCCTGGTAACACACCAAGGGCTCTACTGGTTTCTTGTCTAACGATTCTCTTGTAGGAGATATCTGTTTGTTGATGGTCAATGATGAGTCAGACTGCAGGGATGGTTTGGTTAGCAGGGAATCTTGTTCATATGGTTTAGTACCTTGCTGCTGCCTGCAATACGAAGATGGCAGGTCAGGCGTCTTTGGTGGTCGTGAGAAATCAATCCCATCAGGGGTTCGGGGGGACTGGTCATCTCCACTGAACCGAAGGCCAGAATAAGTTGGTTCCGGATCGCCATCTGTATCAGTATCAATTTGCAAGTCAGGTTCAGACTGTGGTGTGTCAGGCTTCATATCAATGGCCTCTATGGCCTTGCGTGTCTCTTCTTCTTCATCTGTAGGCAAAGCAGGTTCTGGGCCTGCTTGTGAGGTAGTATGTGGGCTACCATTTCCTTCACCTACATAACAATCAGATGGAGTGAAGTCTGCTCCAAATGACTCACCAAGCAATGCTGCCACTGCATCCTCTGTTTCCTCTTGCGATATGACAGCTCGGGGTTTCTCTTCCTCGTTACCAAGTCCATCCCCATCGTTCTTGGGGAGTCCTTGTTCTGCCTTTCCACCAGTTTCTTCTTTCACAAGGAGCTCTACCTTAGGCTTGGGAGCCTCAAATTCTGATATACTTTTAACTGCTGTTTCATGGATTATGTCATCAATAGCAGTACCAAATCCTGGTATGAATTTATCAGGCTTTTTCTTTTCAGTGATCTTTGGAGCAGTTGAAACTGAAATAATAACAGATTCATGGTGTGAAGGTGACCTAGACAGAGCATCATCTGATGTGAGGTTTGGAGGTTTGTTGAGAGGTGGACTCAATGGCATCTCCAAGCTGGGCAGTAGTGGTGACAACAAGGGAGATGGTTTGCTATCCTCCAGAGAACTTGTTATGCTCAACTTCCTTTCAGGTGAAGACTTTGATTTGTCATGATGATGATGGTGATGATGGTCTCTTCTGGCCTGTTTCTCTTCTTTTGACTTCTTACGTTTCTTTTTCTTTTCCTTTGCTTTCTCCAGTAATAGAGCAGTAGCAGCTTCCAAGCTTTCATCACCATCTGTGAACCTGAAAACATCAGCATCAGTATTTCCCATTTCCTCCTTCAGAGTTCCATCTTCATGTTTCTCTATTTTACATGACAGTAAAGCCTTTGGCAATGCCTGGTCAGGGTAATCATCAGAACTGAGAAGCTTGGCTTCCAGTGCCCGTCCTGCCTCTACCAACTCCACGCTACTTGCTTTCTTGTCTCGTTTCTTTTTATCGCGTCTCTTACGCTCCTTTTCAATAGGGCGTGACACAATGGCTGCTGTTGGAGGGAAGCACTCCATGCGTGGTCCAAGAAGTGATGCATTTGAGTCAGAATCTGAACCATACACTAGGGAAACCTGCCACTTCCCTGGCAATTTATCATACATGCGACCACTTCCTCCATTGTTCGGTGTCACAGGGGTCTTCAAATGTCCACTCTCTGAATCATCTGATAATGGACCAAAGATATCCTCCATTTTTTCATCGCGTTTCACACTGCTCTCTGGTTTTAGGACACCAAGCTCAGGCTTTGGAACTTTCTTCTTATGAACTTTTGCCTGTTTACAATCGTCATCATCTATGCTCTTACAATGGGTTGATTTTCGACGTTCACGTTTATGCCTCTTCCTCTCACCATCTACTTTAACCTTGCCACCATTAGCTTCAGGTTTATCCACTGCTAGGTCAGATTCTATAGAGGCCATTTTTCCAAGACTGTCTTCACTGGCCTCTAAGTTTTTCTGGCGCTTTTGTTTCTTTTTGTGTGACTTCTTTCGAGGCATATCATTTCCCTTGTCAACAGAATTCCCATGGAAAGATTGTTTCTGGTCTAGTTGAAGTGGAGGCGTCAAAGCAGCAGCTTCACAATCTGAAGAATTGCTCAGAGTTGCAGTAGCTTTCAACTGTGTTGTAACATACTTTACTGCCTGAATGTTTTCTCCATAAATATCGACCTTTTCTGCATCAGAGAGGAATTTCTTTGTACTCTCCTCTATAGTAAGATCTGGAAAACTTTTAGCTGTTTTATTCTTCAGGACAGATTTTCTAAACAGGGCCTGTTTCTCTTCACCAAAGATATCAGTTTTGGGAGTATTTAATAGCTTCCTCATATTTTCATCATCTGATGAATCCACAGTATTTTTTGCCTTATTTTTAACACAAGATTTCTTTAGATTTGATTGCTTGTCATTCCCATAAATGTCTGTTTTCAACCCATCAGACAGTTTCCTGGAACCCTCATCATCTGATGAATCCACTGAATCTTTGGTTCTTTTTTTAACAAATGATTTCTTCAAACTGGCTTGCTTATCATCAGCATATGTATCTGATTTTACTACATCACTCAGGAACTTCCTACTATACTCATCATCAGAGGAATCCAGCATATTTTTATTCAATTTGCTTTTGTTTCCACCCTTCTTCATACTGAACTGTTTGTCTGCACCTGTTTTACTTACATCTGAGATCAGTTTTTTGTTACTTTCATCATTGGAGGAGTCCAATGTTCCTTTGCCCATTCTATTATTCTTAGTAGCAGACTTTTTCGAGGTAGGTAATTTGTCATCTGAGTCAGCAAATCCCTGATCAGCATCACTATCAGCTGAATATGCATCTAATGTCTTATGTTCATTTGGTTTAAACCTGGCAGTTGCATTATCATCTTCAGATGTGTCAGAAACAAGTTTGGAGCGGTTTCCCTTCTTTCCAGACATTGTAAGATGCTTGGTTCGAGCTGAGGTGTCGTCATCTTCACTGCCATCTTGTTTCCCAGCAGCTCCAGATCTGCGCACTTCTTTGCCAATTCTTCCAAGAATGTCAGAATCTGAATCAGATTTTCCAGTACAAATATCTTCTTTCTTGATTCGCACCACTGGCCTGCTTTTTCTCAATTTGGATGCATCGCCATCATAACGTGAACGGCCGTCATCCTCGGATGAGCTGCTGATCATCAGTTTGACATGACGCTTGCACTTGCCACCATGCTCATTGCCTGAATCAGAGTCTTCATCCCATGACGTTGATCGCTTCTTCTCTTCTCTCTTTGCTCGTTTTTTCTTCAACAAATCAAACTTCTCCCTCATCATTTCCTGGCGTCGTTCCTCCTCCTGTTTCTGCATGTTCTTGGTAGATCTAGCTTTCACCTTGTCATACATAGAGATGTACGCTGGGCCATCATCCACTATATCAAATATGGAATGTTTCTTGGGTCCATCACCACTCCCATCCTCACTGTCAGAATCCGAATTACTGACTTCCTTCTTCTGGGACTTGCTTTCCTTTTTCTGTGATATGAACTTCTGATCATCCTTTCCTATGTCCTCCTCTTTCCTCCGCTCACTGCTATTCCTCTTGTCCTTCTTTGCTGCCCGTCCTTTCTCATCCAAAAACTCGCTGCTTCCAAACTCTTCCTTCATCTGTTTCTTTTTCTCTTTTGTTTCTCTTTTACTGTGTTTATGTTTCCCATCTTCCTTATCTTCGACATCACTATCATCCTTCTTTTTACCAGATTTAGGAGATAGTTCTTTATCAAGAGCTGGGTCCTTTGTAGGTTTGTTACCAAAGTCCCTCATTTCCTTGGGACTGTCCCTGTCTGACTTGCTCTTTTTCTTCTGCTTGTCTTTAGATTTGTGCTTGTCACAGTTCTCCTTCTTCCGATCAGCATCTTCCTTGCCCTGCTGACGTATGTTGTCCTCACGAATTTTATCCTCCAGGAGTTTGGCAAAACCTTTGGTGTCAGTACTTGCACTAGCACTGCCATGACTTCGTGGGCGTTCACTGTTGCTGCGTTTACTGCTGCTGCTACTACGCCCACTGTCCTTGGAATCACGTCGCTCTGAGATCTTGCGATGCTCCAACTTGAGGCGCTTGGCATCATCAGGTACACTGTCCACACTGTCTTGAGAACTCATGCGTCGCTTACACCCTATGCTGGCTGGTGAACTGCTGGTGCTTCCACGTTCCTTTCGGCGCTCCTTGCTCTGTTTCTCTGTATTTTCCATTCGTTTCTCAACATCCACTGCAACCTCTAATTCCTTATCAGTCATGTGATTCTCTTTTCGTCGGTCCTTTTCCTGGTTCTCTTCTCTCTCCTTCCACCTATCTTTGTCAATACTGTCGACATGCCCATCCTTCCATCTATCTTTATCAGTGAATTCCACAGCATCCCTTCTCCTGTCCAGATCTATACATTCATCTCTCTGTTTCTCCTTTTCCAAACTATCAACACTATCCTTCCTTCTTTCCTTTTCTGCATCCACAGAATGACTGTCTTTCCTTCTTTCTCTCTCTGCACATTCCATGGACTCCCTATCCTTTCTTTTATCCTTTTCTGTACTTTCTGCTCGTTCCCTCAGTCTGTCACTAGGTATCCCATCTTTCTCACTGTCCCTTCTAGCACTCACTGATCCAACACTCTCTTTCCTCTCTCTCTTCTCTTCCACATGACATGTCGTCTTGGATTTGTGACCACTGCTTGAACTGTTCTTCATTTCTTGTTCTCTGCAAATGCTATCTCTATCTTTCTTGGAAGCATTCAATGAACCTGCTGAAAAAGTTGAAAGCGGCTCTTTCTTCAAACCAGCTGACTGCTTCCCAATATCACACTGTTTGTCTTTAGTGGGGTGCTGAGATTGTGATTGCAATGATTGTTCCTTCTTTGACAAAGAACAGGGTTTTGGCTTAAGGTTTGATCTTGTCGACTCTGAGGAGGAATTCGTTGTAGGAGTTGACAATGAAGTTGTGAAAGTTGTTGAAGTGACGACTGTAGATGCCATGGTCATGGTTAATACTGTGGTTGTTGCAGTAATAGAAGCAACCACCGTGGTCACAGTAGGTGCACAAGCATTGGTGACAGAAACCGGGACAATAACAATTTTTGGACTACATGACACAACAGGAATTTCACTTGGCGATTTAACTGAAGGAATGTTGTCTGAGTGAGGAGCATCTGATCTAACATGAACAGGACTATGCTCCTTGTTACTCTTCAGTGACTGTTCCGCTGGTTTTGAAGGTTTTGGTGGTGATGTCTGCGGAAATGAACTCACAGCTGTTGTAACAGCCGACAAAGCATTTGAAATTGGCTTGCTTGCAGACGATGAAACTTTCACAGAGGCTGGTAGAGATGATGCCATTGTTGAGAAGAACTTTGGTGTTGATTGCGAAGAAGGTACAACAGTTGACGAAACCCGTGTCGACGTGCATGTTGTCATGGGCTGGAATCTTGTAACTTCTGGCAATGACATCACTGAAACGCTGGAGCATTTTACACCTACAGTAGATGTTCGCATTGTATCCGGAACCAATGCAGTGCTCACTGACACAGATGTTACTGTTGGTGTGGAGGGTTTGACACATGTTGGTAATCGTAACACACCGGGCGACGGAACTCTATTAGTTGCTGCTGTAGAAGAGGGGGTGGGCGCAGAAGAAACAAGTTTCGAAGGAATTCGACTTGTAACTTCTGGGGTAGGTTTTGTGTCTGTAGTCACAGTGACAACCGTCGCTGATGGCCTCCCCATGGAGCATCGCGACATATCTGCTGAATATGTGGTAGTATTTGTTAATAATCCAACAGGCTTTACTGAACAAGTCCTTGCTATTTCGGGTGAAAGTACAGTACCTGTGGATGATGTCGGCACAGTCACTGACAAGCTAGGTTTCACTCCCGCACTTGACACAGACACCAACGCTGCAGTAGTTGTTGCTGTAGTGGTGGCTACTGTAGTGGTTGGCAAAACTGGTGGATGGCTGGGAAAGGGATACTGAAGTCCCTTGGCAGCAGGTGGCAGTACAGTACTTGGAGTCTTTGGTACAGGTTGTTGCTGCTGCTGCTGCAGTTTGGATCCACACTGGGTATGCAGGGGGGTTATACCTACTGGAGATACAGACATAAACGACTTTGGAACTGTGGGTGTGGTTGGTGTGCCTGGTGAAAATGGAGACTTTGGGATGGGCTGAGAGGGAGAGTGTAATGGTGAAGGAGTACCTATTAGTCTGCTAGGAGGGTTCGGGAATGATACCACCTTTCCAGTTATTCCAACAGCGGCTGAGGTACTAGCAACAGAAGTAGCTAACCCCACTGCTTTAGTTGGTGTTACACACTGAACCTCCCTCATACACTCGGTCTTGATTCGCAAACTTTGGAAACAACCAGGGGGGCGTGTAAATGGAATAAATTCTCGAGGCTCATATTTGTCGTTAAAATTTGCAAGTCGTTTTAAGTCCTCATCAAACACACTTCTCTTGGCAAGTACTGATTTCACGATGTCTGATTGTGGTAGATTGGTAAACTTCTCATTAATCATGCATTCGTAGAAACTGAAACGCTCATCATTTGCTGCACTCAACTTCGCAGGTGCTTCACTCCCTTTTAGACTTACTGCTCGTGAAACTGACCATTTCTCATACTTTTCATCCAGAGAACGAATGCGCTCCTCGAGCATGGGAGATGGTGGTGAGAGCTCAGAGTCGGACGATGACGACGAAAGGATTGACTCAGGTCTTGGTGGCGGTGATGCTGGAGGAGGTGCAGGGACAGGACTGGGTGGGAGCTGATGTACGACTGGCTGCGAATGTGATGGTACAGGTCGTGGAGAAGTTATAACAGCAGGAGGTGATGACACTGGGGCACCTTTGCTAGCAGATGGTGATACACCAGACACTGAAACTGATAAACGAGGGGTAGACGAAAGAACTTGTGCAGCAAACCTTGGAAGGGGTAGTGACAGAGGGCCCTCAGTGGCAAGCCTGTCACGGGGAAAACGACGAGGCTCTGTGGGTGGCAATAAGTTTTCTGGTCTTTCATCACACAGAGGTGTACCAGGTCGGCTACCGTCCACACTCTCCCCCCCACTCACAGGCAATGTGCCACTAGCAGGTTCTCCATGTTGATGGTGATGGTGGTGATGAGAATGCTTACCACTACGACAACTAACACGGTCCTCACTTTCACTAGTGCTACTCCCAGTTTTACGGCGCTTGCACACAGGATGAGGAGAATAAGACTGCACTGACACCAGGCGATCTGCAGATGTTTCACATACATCCCTCCCAACCCCACCATGTTTTGATGTACTGTCTGCACTAAGTCTCCGGCTGCAGTGCTTACCACTAATGTCAGACAACCTCCGTACTTCCGACACACTTTTCCTATGGTTGTGCGTTGTCACAACCAAAGACGGTGCAACTACATCACCATGATTTTCGTAACACATGTCCATTCCACCTGGTCCAACTGCACATATGGGTAGAGAGGGTGGGGGCTCTCCGCAGTCGTCACTTGCAAGCTTGAGCCGCTTCTTAGGCGCTGAGCTTGCCATACTACCGTCATCATCACCAGAACTCTCCAGCTGTTCTAACAGGGTCTGAATGTGAACCCTTTCCTTCTGCAGGTGGCGGATATCATGCGGATGCTGTGCAGTACTCGGCGGAGGGGGCAGCTGGGAGGGGGCACCAACGTCACTGCTCACGACGACACTCTGCAGGGAATGGCGTTTGTAAGCAGGGTCCTCTTCATTACAGGGAACCTTGTCCCCAGGGCTGCAACTCTTGGCAGGTCGTGCAGCCACCACAGCAACACTCCGCCGCAGAGACGATGTCTCCCCTTCACATGCTCCTGGTGATGGGCTACTATCCCCTCGTTCACGCTGACAATAGCCGTAATCACGCAACTCCTGTTCATAAGAGTCATCATGACTTGCTGCGCTTCCCTGACTGAATTCATCATAGTTCCTGCAAGTGAAAAAATCAAATTATAGTTCATAACAACCTTCTTGGCAAATGAGACATGCACCAGTATTACCCATCACTGTGTTCATCGGTACGTTTCTTGAATTAAAATTCTATGGAAATCTTCTGACCCATACAGACCTAATAAACTTTCAAGAAAAGCAGTGACTATGCTTTAAACAAAATAAGCTCTATTTCCAAAATTCATATTACTCGCAAGTACAGGTCTTAGTCTCAGTCTAGATGTATGTCACCAGATTGTGGTAATATATGAAGTATTTTCAGATCACTACCTTTTGCAGTAGCTATGTGCTGAACCAATCACATTTTCTGTTACACACAAGCACAAATTAAGCCCTTGTGCTGGCATCACTACTTTTGGTAAAAAGCTTTTCCTCTAACAGACTGTTAAGGCCCATTGGGTTGTGAAACATCAAGCTGCTACATTTTCTATAAAATCGGTTCTGAGACGATGGTGAGGTTGTCAGCCTTATGCACCGGCCACCTTTACCACCCAGAATATTCCAGGTGCTCATTTCTATTAGTTCGGCCAATCCCAGGACCACAGTGTGACTGCAAGGATTAGGTTAACTAAAAAATCCAATGACATCTTTGGGAATTGAACCTGCGACTTTCCAGCTTGTAGCATAGTGTCTCAACCAACTATGCTATGGCACGCTCCATTCCTGTTTATGGTAGCCATTTAAATATGACTGTTGATATTTTCCTGGCACTTGTCCACATCAACATTATATTTGTACTCATATGCCAAAACATAAAAGTCCTGGTATCCACAATGCATTTGTAACTCAGTTCGTTTAGGAATTCAACATTCTCATATCCTCTATGGTGACAACTTGAAATATAAAGGTCAGGTTATTCAAAAGCAATCAGTCTATATCATTATTGCCACAATGATGTCATCTTGCTTCACAAGCCTGACACAATATTTGAATGCAAGAGGTTAGAAAGAAATATTTCACTTTATATATTACACATATTTGTAAACATACACAAAATAAAATTAAGTTCTCTTTAATTTATAACAAAATTCTTTGGAAATAAATTCCAGCATATGATACTGATGGGAGACAGAAGACTTATGTTAAGATGGGAAAACAATAATATAAAAACAATCACATTCCAACGTTAACGAGACACAGTATGAAAGCAGAAGTGAGTAGGTGTGCCTGTCTGCTTGACAGTATATTAAGATACACATTTCAAATTCAAGTTGCTAGGTCTGAATCCGGGTTGAACTGGATTTTCACACATCCACTGGAAAGGGCATAAAATGAACATGTAATGCAGAGATTGTGTTTGTCCATCCATCCATTAAACCCTATGTTTCATCTCCAAAACTACACAATTCATTTTGATTAAATTTGGCATTTGGAGGCATCTACACTAAAAACTGTTGATTAATTAAATTTTATTCATAGTGGTCTAATGACTAACACTACTTTGCATTATTCACACATAATGCTTCAATGATCATCTTCATAACATCTCTTCTCACACAAAACGAAAAACTTGTACATAATATAAAACATAAATCTCATTAAGATCCTTCTAGGTGTGCAGGATGCACATTTTAAGGTTCTTGACTTCTGATTATGTCTCCTACGTGTGAAGTATGCAAATTTTAAGATTCTCGGTATTTTAGGACTCTAGTTCTGTCTTCTGGGTGTGCAGTATGCACATTTTACAGGTCTTAGCCTTTTATAGCCCGTTCTGCCTTCTAGGTATGAAGTACATGAATTTTATAACCACTCATTCTGTCTCCCACGTGTGATGAAGTGTGCAAATGTTTGGATTCTTGGAATCTGTAATTCAAGGTATGTCTCCTACATCTACAATATGTGCACTGTAAGCATGCTGGCATTTTCTCTATCTCATTTTTCATTAAACTCTTTCAGGCTATGCTCATCTGACTTACATCAAGTAATGAAGAATGATGTTGAATGACATGGCAGAGAAATGTACTAAGTACAGATGTACAAAATGTATTACTTTTCTTAGACATGCCAACAGAATTGATATGACCACTCCTAAGCACAAAGGGGACAGATTTCTCTTTCATCTATTCATAGGTTCATTAAACTAGATTTTGTGATTTTTATCTTCCTTATTTTATTTAATGGAGCTATCTCAACTTCATTTATGTTAAATGGAAGGGCAAATGAATACTTCAGAAGGACATGAAAGAAAGCACACAAGGTCTATTCTGTGACACTGTTCCAGCATGTGCCAAAAAGATTGAAGAAACCTGCCAGAATTGAACCCTGGTTGTCCAAGCAGACCAACAACACACTACAACAGTCATCAGCTTCGTACTACACTGGAAATGACAGCAAATTCTATTAATGTGGAGAAAACATAAATGATGATCCAGTGAATCAGCCACAGCAGTTGTGGTCAAAACAATTTCAACAAAGTGCTAGACTGTTAAGAGATCACATGAGAGGTAAACCAGTCACAAACTCATCTCAAGTAAGCACACGTTTTACATCATGTTCTGCACTGTCCAGTGTTTCAGGTATATAGGAAATGCAAATTTTTGGAGTTTACTCATCTTCAGGAAACTGGTTGTCATGATAATGCCAGATTTTTTTAATTGTTTCTATGAGAGCAGCCAAATGAAAACAAGTCAGAAGCCAAAACATATTAAAGAACATTTCTCACCTCAAAAGTAATCTCCAAAACTGTTAACACATTTATCCCACTGGGAGATAAGACGGTCAATCCCATCCTTGAAAAAGCTTGTGGGCTGTCTACAGAACCACATCTTTACCCAGCCACACCCATCTTCGTCCAATGGAATCCGATGTCCACGAATCTCTCTCTTCGGGTCTCCAAAAATGTGAAAATCACATGGGGGGAGATCTGGGCTGTAGGGGGCATCCTGAAGCACTTCCCAACCAAATCTCTGTAGGGTATTCCTCACAGAGTTGGCAGTGTGGGGGCGCGCATTATCATGAGGAATAATAATGCCGTTCGATAGCATTCCAGGGCATTTTGACTTTATGGCACGTCTCACTTTCTGCAAAGTGTCTTCATAGCGCTGTGCACTGACTGTGGCCCCATGCTCAAGAAAATCAACAAGCAGAGGACCCTTGCAGTCGAAGAAGAACGTTGTCATCACTTTACCAGAACTTGTGTGTACAGGTCTGGATTTCTTCGGTGGGGGAGAATTCACGTGTTTCCACTGCTGGCTCTGCCGTTTGCTCTCAGGTTCAAAATGGTGGCACCAAGTTTCATCCCCAGTGGCAATACGGGACAGAAAAGCATACTCTTCCTCATGGTGTGATGCAGCCATTCTCTGAGTCTTCTGTTCCTCTGTAAGTTGATGTAGAACCAACTGTGCACAGATTTTGCGGTACAGCAGGTGTTTTGTCACAACGGCATGTAAGGAACCATGGCTTATTCCCATCAAAAGACTAATTTCTTCCACAGTGATCTGTCGGTTTGCCCATATATGACGATCCAACGCAGCAATAACATCAGGAGTGATGACACGATGAGCCTATCCTGGGCGAGCATCATCTTGCAGTGACACAAGTCCATCTCGGAATCTCTTATGCCACGCCACCACATGCAAAAGTGACATGCTGTGTTTGCCGTGAACAACAGATATGTGACGATGAATTTCTCATCCTGATGGCTACTGATCAGTAGCCATCACAAGGACCGTAACAGATCCAGCAACATCAGAGGACGCGGAAAAACAGCGAGACCTCCAAAAAGTGACAAGTGCAATTAATATAATAAAATTGAACTTTAATTCATGAACTTTTAACCAATAGTATAATTAAACTAGTTGAAGTGAACTTGACGCAGTGATGAGCGTAAGTAGGAAGTGACTGAATAACAAGTGAAAGTGAAAGCATAACTAGTGATCTGAATTGAAACTCAATTCACAAATTTTAAATTTTAACTTTTGACATTTATAATAACATTTTAACTTGTGTTTTGTGAGAGGAGCTTGATATATTATTGAGCGTGGGCCTGAATAAGATACAGGATCGAATAAGTGAGAAAACGAATGTGATTGTGTGTAATTATACAGCTGTGTTCGTACACCTGAGGATGACCTCTTGAGGTCGAAACATGTAGTGTAATAATAATAAAAATATGTTGTGTGGTCGGTAAAATTGACTCTAATATTGATTAAATACACAACAGGATGCAAGAAACAATTAAAGTTCCCCATCAGATGTTTGTACCATAAGCAAATTCCACTGTTACCAACTTGCACGCCGTGTGAGTTATGCATGGTGACCCATTTTCATTTGACTGCCCCTTATATTACCAAGATCAGTGACAATGATTGGGATGAAAGCCACAACTTTTATAAGCTCCTATCTTAACCATTAAATTACCAAAGTATTCTGTTTCTTATAATCATTTATTCATATCTGCTGCCATTATCATTACATAGCTTTTATTTTCACTGCATATCTATTTTATTTTTAATGCTCTTTAGAGTACCCCTTATGAGTTACCACTAAAACGTATCTGTTTAACCAGACAATATGGGATATAGACACTAGATGGTGACATATTAATCTGGTGATACATTTCACCTCAAAGCACAAAAAAACAGTACAAAAATGGCCTACCTGTATCTCCTATCAGGGTACTCCGTATCATAGTATTCGTACCGCTGCCCTGCCCGCTGGGTGCGTGCTGCTGTCCTCCCTTGTCCGACAGTGGTTCCAACAGCAGCTGCCACTGGTGCAACTGTACTGCAGTTTGCAGTCCGGCTGTACGATGCAGCTCGTGGGCGCTGCGGTGTTTCATATCTTGTGAATCGAGCACCTGGCACTACAACTGTTGTCTCAAACCTCCCCGCCTGTACCTCTCGGCTGCTGTGAACAAAATAAAAACAAATTTGACTGCATGTTTAGATTGGGAGTTTCTGGATTGTGTGTCACAACCCAGAAAATCACAATCTAAACTCTCATTGAGAAGAAAACTTAAAATCTCATACTACTTAAACTTTTATTTCACAAAGCTTTCTCCTTAATCAAGTGCGTATTTTTGTGAAAATCTTCTCTGACACTGTGTGGTAGCCTATACTTCTAGTACAACCAATATTTGCCATAATAAAAATTAACAGTAAAAAATTAAATTCTGTGCGAGGCAGTCCACCTACTTGCTATCATAGCGCTCCCATGGCCGTTCGCCACCGACAGCATGACCCTGTTTCTCTAAGTGTTCATAAAATGCTTCTTGGCACTCTCGAGAAGCAAAGTCAACCTGCAGCTTGCGACCGCGGAGCAGCACTCCCCTCATCTCACGCACTGCATTCTGGGCATAAGGGATCTGGTGAGAGGAATCATACAATATATTATGACTGCTGGAGCATGATCTTCACTCCTACCATGCTGCAGAAGAAAGTGGAAATAAAACACAAGGAATCTCCTTTTACTATTATTTAATTAAAAATTTACCATCATATACAGTTACATTTTTAGGTACCTTCTCTGTTAACCCTATGTCATACTCCCCTAATTCATGCCTCTCCATGGTTTGGTGTTCACATGCAGTTGTTGTATATCCTTGCAACTGAGTGGAGGCCAGTAGGACCATTTGGTCCTCGTCCACTCTGGGGAGAGGGCCAACTATATTCTTACTTAATTTAAAAAATTATGATAAGCAAGAATGTGGTAACACCATTTCATTGAATTGTTAATTTATTATTCTTGACCTCTCATCAATATTCATTTGCATTGTTTAGATAATTTAAAATTTAAAAAAGTCTGCACTGTCATCCGTCAGTCCAGATAACTTCTCTTGTGCCCTGCGTATGTACACATTTGTAAATGGTTATGAAGAGTAACACTGTTAGGAAGAAGGGCAGCACCATAGCTCGAGCGGTTAGTCGCTGGCTTCCCACCGTGGTGGCCCAGGTTCGATCCCGGGTCTGGTCAAGTGGGATTTGTAGTGGACAAAGTGGCACTGGGGTGGGTTTTCTCTGAGTACTTCAGTTTCCCCTGCCAATCTTCATTCCACCAAATTCTCCATCATCATAATCACCCAGGGCAGGTACAACAGGCAAATCAGTGGCCACCATGCTGAGTGGACCCAGCTGGACTCCACCCTTTCCCCCCCTAATTTGAAACATTATTAGGAATTAATGAGAAGGGATTCACATAATTAAATAGGATAACACAGTGCTTGTAAAGATGTTTCATCACCACAGTTAAGACTAAGCACCAGGAAAGCGGCCTCTGTAGTCTAGAGGTAACTATAAAGATATTTACATTCAAGACGTCTATATACTGGGCTATAATCCTGTGCAGTCCAGCGAAAGTCAATCAGCGTTTCGAGTAAACATACCATTTTCATCTTCAGGGATGAAGTGTAAGCCAAGCAAGAAATTTGCATGAAACTTGTCAGCAAGCAAAGCTTAACTTTCACTAGACTACATGGGATAGCACAGTCGGTATAGCTACTGGCGACAGGCTGGATGACCAAGGGGTTGGAGTTTGAATCCGGGTAGGGTCAAGAATCTTCTCCTCCATTGTGAGAACCTCAAACCCCAGTATTTAACAAGTATTTCCTGATTTATTTCAAATATCGGAATCATGGTTTTACTGATCATAACATACCTTGTATCTACAACACCAAAGTACATCATTTCTGTGGATATGACAGGCAATAAAAAGATACCCTGCGTGATAAATGGTAGCACACTCCAACATTGTTTGAAAACCTCTACAGTGTGGAACATACTGGGTTATTTCCACACTGGCAAATACACCATCATACTCTGAGTACCCCATGAGACAGTTCAGAGAAAAAAAAGCAGTGAAATTATAAACACGATGTATAGCTTTATCCTCGAAATTCTGTCTTAATCCATAACATTCCAAATATTCTAAAGACATGCACCACAGAGCCTGATTCAGGACATAAATATCTACCTGCTCAAAATAGATAAGAGCATGCCCTCTTTCACGATCAACGGTGACATGAGTGATGTTGCCAAACTGATTGAACTGAAGATTTAGGTACTTCTCTGACACTGTATCTGAAAAGAATTTAACACATGTAACTACCATGATATGTAAAGAAAATAATAATACGATGGGGTACCCAAAAGAAACCCAACTAATTTTTTTGTGGGCAGAGTTTTTGTAGTACCGCGTTTTGCCGCTATGAGCGCATAGAGCTAACATTCCTGAGTCGATAAGCCGACTACCGTTGCTTCAGAAGGTAAGGACTAGTTTCGGCAGGGTTTATAGTGACAACTGTTTTGTGTGATCGTCGTTTTTGCAATGGCTGATTTTCGTGAACAGCGTGCGGCGGTGAAATTCAGCTTTTTGCTTGGGAAAAGTGGAACAGAAACTCTTGAAATGTTAAAAACGGCGTACAAGGACGATGCTATGGGGAAAACTCAAGGGTTTGAGTGGTTTTCTCATTTCAAAAATGGTGAAATGTCAATTGATGACAAACCTCGTTCTGGTCGTCCTTCCACGGCCCGAACACATGAAAATGTTGAAAAAATTCGTGAAATCATCAAGGAACATCGACGACGGACCATTGAAGAAATTGTGGAGCTGTCGGGAGTGACTCGGAGCTCAGTTCAGCGAATTTTGACAGAAGATTTGGGAATGAAAAGGGTGGCTGCAAAATTTGTGCCACAACTGCTGACTGTTGAACAAAAACAAGGTCGCATGGAAGCATGCTCTGCTTTGAAAGAAGAGTCCCGAAATGATCAAAACTTTTTTTGTTTCCTCGAATGAAAAGAGACATGAAAGGAAAGCGTTTTGCTGATGTTGCTGAGGTGAAGGAAAAAATGACGGAGGCGCTGTCAAGCATCTCAAAAGATGAATTTAGACAATGTTTTGAAAAATGGAATAAAAGACTAGACAAGTGTATTAGTGTAAGTGGAGAGTACTTTGAAGGGGACTGAAGGTTTGTGCTTAAAATTTGAATAAATAAGTTTAAAAAAAAATAAGTTCGGTTTCTTTTGGGTACCCCCTCATACACTCAATAAAACACCATAAACATCATGACATAGAAATATACATCCTTAACCTATATTTTTTATCAATATCTACAAAATATAAAAAGTACAGCATGAAACACTAGGATTTGTATACAATATTTCAATTCCTATGCAGAAGAAACAGATAAAAATTGTTTCATAACTTAAATTTATCCATCTTCTATATTTAAAAAAAAAAAGGCTTCCCAAATGTGCCAAAAGGCAAAGAGAAATGGAGGAATGTCATACATGACAGCGTATGCATAAAATAGGAGACTGAACAAAAATTTCTAATATTAAAGCAACAGAAATATCTCTACAAGCCAAGCTGAAATTTATCATGGTACATGTTTCTCCAGTGATGACATTTACGTGCATAATTTACATCAGTCAATTCTCAATTCTCTACTAGTTTTGTAACAAACATATTGGTATGTCTCGTTCTTTCTAGCTCTTAACAAGAAATAATGACAATCAGTAGCTCAGACAAACCTGTTTGCCAAAGATAACAATTAAATTACCTTACAGAATGAGCAGTTATTAAGAATGTAGTGATTTATGAGACAAACAAACGAAATACAGTATACTTTGAATAAAAGAAGCCCTTGAATTTAAGACCCACCCAGTTTTTGAATGTCGGTTTTAGGAAAAACAAAATTAGAAAAGTGTACATTCCTTGAATTTAAGACACACCTCAATATTTCAATGAGAAAAAAATGCATAAAATGTGTGTCTTACATTTGAAGTAACATGATATATGAAACCACTGGTGCCAATTCAAAATGCTACCGAACCGACCATGAATGCCTTAAAGCTCGCCACAAATCAATGCCACATCAGTCTGCCTATAGCAAATATTTATATTATATATAGGTTTAAAAACTAGAAAGATTCCAACAAACATAAGCCATTTTAATACCTGCAATGCCATCCACCCAAACGCAATTAGTAGCCATGGACTTGCCAAAGCCAAGCTTGATGCGATTGTTGCCAAGATGTTCACCATCCATTGTCCGCATAGCTTTAACGACACTCGCTATGTCTGAATACTGGCAGAAGGCATAAGATGACACAACACCCTGTTTCTTGATGTCAATCTCCTGTAAAACCACAATTAACAGAGTTCCTGGTTATGCCTCAAATATGTAAGTCATTCAACACTGTAGACTAAGCATATGAAATGTCAATGGATTAGTTCCTGGTCCTCTCCAGGCTACTCATGTAACACCACACTTACAAGCACTGGTTCTCCCTGGCTAGATTTATGTGGTGTTTAAAAAGACCAGCAAAAGAAATTTCTCCTATCATCTATCAACAATCCAAAATTAGCTATGTAAGGATTTTCATACCTCAGCAGTCAAAAGAATTAACAATTTTTGGCTTTCCACTTCTTCACAAGCAAAAATTAAGTACTCAAAGCTTCTCACCTTTCAATAATCAACATTTAACCATTCATGGTTTTCATCTCTCAACAGTCAAAATGTAATTATTTTAATTTGGCTTTTAATTTATCAACAGTGAAGGTCTAGTGGTTAGCATACTAGCCCAGTATTCAAAAGGCCCAGTGTTATCTTAACTATCTTAAAATTAACAAAAAACCATCAGTATAATTAACAACTGAACTCCTGAAGACAAGAGCAGAACCAATTCCTGAAAAGTTGTGTATGTGAAATACACTTCGTTAAATATCCAACATTACACTTGTATAATGAATCAACCACTGTTCCAAACATTTACAGAATCTTTGCACTGACTAAAACAACTGTGCAACAAATAACAAAAAAAATTAGCCATCTTAACTTCAGTGAATGTAAGTAGTACTTTAAATACACATATGACTGGGATAGCTGAAGAACCGTCAGTTCTCAAATTAAGATATATATTATATAAAGGGAAGTATACAGAATCACACCACACAAAACATTCCTAACTTACGATGATTTCCCCGAACTGCTCAAAGTGCTTCCGAAGTTCCGATGGTGTAACATCTTTCTCCAAGTTGCCAATAAACAGAGTCCGTGTTGCCTTCGGATGAAACTCGTCCAATTCCGCTTCGTAAGGCCTAAAAAGTGAAACAAACAAAACATATTTATAAATTTATGCTTAAAAATATAAACATAATTCCAATAGAACAATACTTCAAGATCTCCGAAATTAAGAGAATGTTCTTTTCTAACATGCTCAGCCTTTCCCACTCCTTTTATTTCAAAATTCACTCCTACCAACTAAAAATTAATTTGCACAAAAATTAAAATAAAGAACTTCTTGGCAAAAAAAATGGTACATACCACCTGTTATTCCCATGTGTAAATTATTTTAAGATATGCCAAAGGACATAAAGAGCAAGATATACACAAGGGATCTAAGTCAAATGGCCAAACTTTAGGAAGACTTTAGAAGATAATCAGGAGAAGAAAATATAAATAAATTGTGTAAGAAAACTATAAAAATAGATGTGCATGTATGTAAGTTTTAAGAAAATAATATAACTGTTCATCCTTGTATACATTCAGATACTTTCAAAATTACATCATCCAGTTCACAGTGATGTCAAATGCGGTCCTTGATATTATGACACCTGAAAGGCAGAATAGCAGAGCCAGAAGAGGCTGCCATTGTTAAGCAATTGATCTGTAAACCTGCTCCAGCAGCAACAACAGATATGCAAGCAACAAGTGAAGTACCATTGGAAGCATTGCCTTCTGTGTCTTCTGAAGACTATATAACAAAGACCAAAATGGAGTCAACAGTTAGCAGTTAGTTGCAAGTCGGTCATCACACAGCAAGGATGTGAGCACTGAAGCACAGGAGTCTCCACTGTTAGCAGCTGTTACCAAGCAATGAGCGGTGAAGACACAACAAACAGGTAAGACTCAATGCGTGCTATTGTGATTCGGACATTGTGTAGATTTGTCAGAGTCAAAGTCATTTGTCAGTCATGTGTAGATTTGTGAAAGTGTTACAGTTACTTGTAGTTATGAGTTATGAGCATTCAATAAATCCAATTATTAATCCAGATCCCGTGCCTAGTCAATAACACGTGACAGTATTTTTATATGACGATGGAAAGCTGGAACAGTGGAGCTAGAGAAGATGTCCACTGCTAGGCAAAGACTCGGTAAACATGTACCAGCAGCAACAGATAACAAATGCAACAACAGAGAACCCTTTGAAACTGTTTACAATGCCGCCTGTGCCTAAGTTATATACACAGTTCTGAGAGAGAGAGAGAGAGAGAGATATGGGACATTGGCTCCACGTAACCTGAAACCAAGAATGACTATACTGGTGCAGACCAGCATAAATTTACTTAACCACATCAGTCCACTGGGAGTTGGCAGTCTGTGATTGGCAGTTGGTGGTCAGCCAGCCAAGAAGAAATAAAAGACAGAGGAGAAAAGAAGACCACAATTTGCCTGTGCAGCGCAAGCTACATGAGACTATCAATAATTGGGTGGAGGACATCCTGGCATCTGTGGCCTAACAGAGGCAGGGCCTCAGCGAGGAATTCAACACAAAGACTGATTCCAGGAAATCCTGTAACTCTGAAAGGGCAGTGAATCAGACAACTGACTGTTTATATTTTCTGTTCCAAACTATCTCCTCAAGAACCTCCAAACAGTTTGGCCATAAAGACTGAATTACTCTGTACAACACTTAGCATACAATACATGGTGGTAAATTCATGAAGTCAGCGGTGGATCTACACAAGAAATTACAATGTCAGAAGCTTTCTGACAAGAGGATGGAAATAGAACTGATAACAGGCTTTACAGTGAGGAGGCCAGATGTAGAAGCCAGTAGTCATGTAAAAGTGATAAGTAGAAATGTCCAGTATTTACTGAGCAAAAGATTTTAATAAACATGTACAAGCATTAAGTACTTTGTTACCTGAATTCATTGTCCTCCACATCATAGCCCTGGCAGGGTGCCACCTCAATCTTGCAACCAAAGAAGAGTTTGTTGTGCGACTCTTCAAGCGCCTTCTCCACATCATCTGCCTTCTTGAAGCAGACCAATGCATAGCGATCGCCTGCCTGCCCAACCACCTTCACACACGTTACCTTCCCATGCTTCTTGTACTCGTGGAACAACCCATCCTTCAGACTCGTATCTGAAACACAAGAATAGTTTCATCATTCAGACTCACATTTGAAACACAAGAACGCATCACACTTCAACTTCCGACTCAGAGGTGAAACTAAGCCTTAGGCTCATGTCTGAAACACAACAAATACCCTTAAACACTTGCATCTGAAATAAAAGATACACTCATCTCTCAGGCCTGTATCTGGAATAGTAAAGAAGTCATATTTAAGCTTGATACTCACATCTGCAATACAAGAAAACTCATTCTCCACACACAGACATAGATAGAAAAGTGTTTGTATGAATCATGTTACAACCATGCGCAGGAATATTTTGTTAAGTGAGTTCAAGATTTCATTTGTACTTCTAGAGCCCTATGTCTCCCACCTGGCCATCACCCAAACTCTTCTCTTTTACATAAAAAATGCAAAGGAACCTTTATCTCTCTTTAAGGACTAGTAAAGTTTAACTGACTTATTCCTAAAGAATTCATTGGCTTAATGGACTTACCACTGGAGCGAATAGGCAGATTACGGACACAGATTGCCAGAGGCCTTCGATCTTCACTCTGGACAGCTGGACTCACGTTGTTAGCATGCGGAGCACTCACCGCTGATTGCAGAGCCACCCCTCCCACGCGCCCACTCCTTGCTGCCCCAAGGTGACTACTGCTGAGGAATATAATTAGCAATGTGTATATAACATATGGCTACGTTTCTTATTTAACTAAATAAAGCAAACACAATTTCTACTATTAAATTAATAGAGAACTCGGTATTAAGACCAACATGGTAGACGTAAAAAAGTAAAGCTACCCCTGTAACAGACCGTGAAGGCCCATAGGGTTGTGAGATGCTGAGGGTCCCAAATTATCTAGACAATCGGCTCAAAGGTGGCGATAAGGTTGTCAGCCTTACGCGTCGGCCGTGCTTTACTCCCCAGGAAAATTATTTATTTAATTCCTGGTACTCATTTCTGTTAGAGGCTGAGTGAACCCCAGAGCCATAGTGCGGCTAGAAGGTTTAGATCAACTGAAAAAAATCCAATGACGTCATTGGGACTTTAACACGCAACCTTCCGGCTTGTAGCATAGTGCCTCAACCAACTACACTACCATGTGCCCCAATACCAATATGGTACACAATGATTCATACTTATCATGATATGTCCGTCAGTTCACGCTTTGTACACAGTGCATGGAGGATAAGACCTTTATTTTGAGCCTGAATGAAAAAGAAATACAATTTTGCAACACTTATTTAATATTGTCATACGTATTAATGACTGAAGACGCAGGTTTGGATCAGTGAGTCGATTGATTTGATAATCACTAGCCGTAACTACAAATAATTATAACAGTTCAAAGATTTCTGTAATTATAATATATAAACAAAGTCTTCTATACTATATGCTTACACTGGTCATTGTTATGTAACAGATCTAAACAATGGCTATTCCTCTGCAAAGTTTTCCCTCTCCATTTCCTATAAAACGGACTTTAACACATGAATTATAACTGTCACACTCCAAATATCGCTGCACTACAACACACATTAAGTCTTCACAGTCAGACTTCTAATTCTTCTTCGACTACGTACTTCCTGTGGCTATCTCCTACCAAGAACTGAACTGAACTTGCTTCTGAATTCACTCCTCTTATAAGCATTCTGCACAGATCCCATGGAAAATGAAGTCAGTATTGTTGATGACATCACCACATTGCACAGCACGGTCCGATATGCGTAAATGTGTTTACTGAGCCGTTGCTTAGAAACGGATTGCATAATTCCGGTGTTGTATAGTTGCTTAGCGCAGAGCACATAGGTTTCCCCTATATTGTTGCATTTGGGAACTGTTTACTGAGCCACTGCCTGCCAATGCTTTCATCAAATCTGTTAAGAGTGTCATATTTCTTTTCCAAGCTAATGAAAACATATAAAAGAATACATCAAACACACATGAACTAGAGCAACTGTAATAGGTTACCACACTAGCATCTGTTAATGCATAATTGTTGGGTAAAAGCTTATGTACAACATGTCTTATGACCTAAGACATAGCAAATATGTCAACTTGCAACAAAGTGGACATGTGTTTTTATTAAGAACACAAGAAACTTAAAAGTAAGTGTATGGGAATTACCAGACAATGTAACTTCTTAAACTGCTTTCTAAATGACTGTCAACTTTCTGCATCATATGATTAAAATTAAGGATTGCATTGTCTTCAAAACTTACTGCAAAGGCCTGTGATAACAAGTTAAGCAAAAATTATCATGACATGTGCCTCATAAATTTGTAAGAACTGAGATAAGCATAAAAGCTCAGAAATAAAATATTTTGCGCAGCTGTTCCGCCTTGCAATGCATACATGTTACATATACATAACAGCAAATATGACTCGATACAATAATGGAAAATTTCTGCATGAGAACACCTGATCTACTATATTTGCTTTCACAGTATCAGACTCCATTTCTGCCCTACACTTCTGATGCAATGAATGAACTGAGAGAGTTCGACAGTACAAAATGTGTGACAGTACCTGTGAGGGGAGCAGGACTTATCAGTTCCTGGTGACGATGTACCCGAGCTGCAACTGCTGGAACCTGATTGGCTAGAGCTGGAGCTGGAATGCGAACGGCTACGAGATCTGGACCGAGAGTGACTTGACCCTGAGTTGGAACCTGATTCACTCCCCGACCTGCTAAATATGACATCACATGGCAAGTCAGATACTGCCATGTATCTACAAACAACAAACAGTTTCACTGTTATACTGTTTTTCACCATGTGACAAAACCATACAAATGCTCCTTTAATATCTACTTAGAACATAATACACAGGATGTGCCAAGGGCATTCCACCTTTTCTTCAATACTGGCATCCACAATAACAAGAACTAATATCAAGACCTAGCGGCCTCCGTAGTCTAGGGGTAACGTTCCCACCTCATGACTCAAGGTACGTGGGTTCAAACCCAGCGGAGGTCGTGGAATTTTTAAGGGCGGAAAATTCAGGGAACAAGTCCTCCAGGAGGGACTTTAAGCCGTGGGTCCCATGTCATAGCTTTACGGCACATAAAAGAACCTCGTGTCCCAAGGGGACCTCTGAGCGAAATTCAGGGCATTTCCCGCCCAACAGTAGTCTCTAACACCTCTAGTAGATGGGGGAAGCATTGAGATACCGCTGAGCCAGTAGAGGCCAAACTTGCTGGCTGAGTCAGGACTGATGGCACGAACCAGTATCAGTAGGGAATAGAGACTGGTAGAATATCACAGGGGGACACACAATGGACCAATATCTGATCTAAGTGCATGGGGAAACCCACCCTCTCCAATAACAATAACAACAACAACAACAACAACAACAACGTCAAGACCTTCTATTTCTCTATGTAACTGCCAAACCAATGTCTTCATCTGTCCCAGTCCCACCATATGTTAAATTCCCATAGAGAATAAGCAGAAGCCCAGTGCTTCCATTCACCTGCATATATTTTGGTTTCAATCTCATTCCAAGGTCAAAAGTGCTTTTTCAATCATCCTTAGGCACAGAGATTTCAAGGCAGAAGGTCCAGATTGGATGGTACATGGGCAAAACATTCCCTGCAGTCTGTGGTGATGCTGATACAATTGTGGGATCATGGGTTCCCCTTCTTCACTTCTTAGTACCACAGGTGAAGAAAAATTTGCCTCTGTGCTTAATTAATTAAACACAATGCCATGAAGAAGTATGGGTGAGTGGATGTACAGATCCACATTTTCTTGACCTCAGCACTAGTTGGAGGTGAGTGGTCAGCTACACGCCCTCACCACTTTACTTACAGGGAAGGTGCAACCAGTAACCACTGGATGAGCCCCAGAACAAGTATGGAAGACATGGGAAAAACTTTTTGCCCCTACTGGGACTCAAACTCTGACCCCTCAATTGTCCAGCTGAAAACTTCTAACATGATGTTGATGATGTTATAACCAAGATCAGCCAGTGAGTGTGAACACTGAGCCCTAACTCTTCCTGCTGTCGAAGTGAACATGTTGAGTATCACATGGGTAAATGCCTCAAGTGCTCTGGTAACTATGTGGAGAAGTTGGGGATTTGTCCATTATTCCTTGTTCTGTTGGAGACTTCTGTAGGAGAAATACATGTGGGTAACACACCCTTAGATGTTACTTATTTAATGATATGACGAAAAGTGTTTATGATAAAATGAAGTTAGAAAAGAATGAGTTGACTGTGGAAATAGAAGCATTTATGTCAAGGGCACATTTGATTTGTGACTCTGAAGACTAAAGTAAATTTTCTTGAACAAAATTTCAAAAAAACATCCTCTATTTTATTCTCTTCCCAATGGATTCTGCAAACTCATATAAAATATAAGATACATCTATGAAAAGTAGTATCACAGGTGAAAAAAAAACTGAACATCCATGCAGAGTACTGGATTTTTTAATGTGTACACTGCGATTTTGAAGAGAAAAACTAGTCTCAAGCAAAGTATGTTTATGGTCCCATGATTAATATTGCAAATTTTTACAGTCCCAAGAACCAAACTTCCAATTTTAATGGTTTCAAGTATTCAACTTCAATCTCTATAGACCCATGAAAAAACTCCTAACAATCCTAAGAACCTCTTCTGCCTCTACAACTCTAAGCAGTGAACTTCGAGGTCTGTGGTACGAGGAACCTGGTTACAATTTTTGAGGGCCAAAAAAAGGCAGTCATGAATCTCTACGAAACTAATGACCCTACACAGTTTGCACATAAGGAATGAAACATGCTTGAAAGATGAAAAGCACATACAGTGTCTCAGTCAGAAAACTTTAAGGTAAGAAAACACTTGGAATACCTTGGCGTAGATGGGAGGAATTAGCAAAATGGATGTTAATGAAATTTGGTTAGAAGATGGCAACTGGATTCATTCGGTACAGGATCAGGACCAGTGTCAGGGTGTTATGAACCTCTGGGTTCCATTAAAGGTGGCGAATCCTCTTGGGCACTTGAGCCACTGTTCGCTTCTCAAGATGGCCTTTGCTCCATCCCTATCTGACCGGGAGTCCTTACCTGGATTTTGGACGCTTCTTGTGCACCACGGGTTGCGTTTCACGCCGCTCCTCCGGGTAGGGGTCAAGGGTGGGGTTGGTGGCGGGATAACGACCGCTCGCCGTGCCGTCGTAGTTCCACGAGTTCCCCAGGGGCCGGTGATGTGCCGCCTGGGTTCTGCGGCATCCACAAACACAATAATTCAATTCAGTGCAGTATGGCTCACAAATTTATAGCTAGAAAACGACAAGCGACAAGCTACAAACCATCTATTCGCACGCTGTTCTACAGGTATACAGTACTACGAGTGGGATGCGTAGATCGCATCCAACTTTCATCATTTCCTTCATTCCAACTGCGTATGTTGCCTCCAAATTTGAATTCCTTACAGCTAAATCCCAAGAAAATTTTACTGCATTTCAAGTCACCCCGTCGGAATTACACAACCCACTGTTACAGTGCAGGTCTATGATCCTCAGACAGGGTCCGCAAACAGGCTGAAAGGTCCAATATCGAATGCTTGTTGATGACGAGAAATTTATTACTATAAGACACTTTCGGAGTAAAAATTCTAGACGCAAATCTAAAAATTATTAGTTTTATTGCAAGTCTACAGTCGTTACAATACTCATAACCCAGATATACAAGTATCGCTTCATTTTTTTCGGGTAAGTAACGCCGAAGAAACAACGTATGCCATCAGGACAGGCACATCAAGATCAACCCGTCTACACTTACTTTAGAAATTGTACTCCATTTACTTAATATTTTTAATGTTTTAATACTTATATTTTTAACCATTTTAACATTAGCTCATAACTCAGTTAACACGATATATACCCTAAATTCAACGAAAATATTTACATTATTGTATTTATTACTATGGTTCCACAGACAAACAATCCAATAACGATGGTATACAGTCATACAACCACCCGAAGATGATCATATTGATCGAAACATGTAGTGGCACGTATTTTTTTCCCCCTGTGGCGCTACAGCCCCATTTTGCGCCTAGGCCTACCTCCATGAAACTCTCCGTTTCACTTCGGTTTACTAGATCTTACACATACGGTAGGACTCCTTGGGCGAGTGATCAGCTCGTCGCAAGGCCTCTATCTGTAGACAAACACAGAAAAACGCACACAAACATCCATCCCCTGAGTGGGATTCGAACCCACTATCCCGGCTTCCGAGCGAGCGAAGACAGTGCATGCCTTAGACCGCTCGGCTACCGCGACCGGCAGTGGCACGTATAATGAAAACAAATATTATCATATTAGTATTAAAAGAATGATTTTACTACACCGTCCAATTTGAGTCATACCGGACGGTGTTGTCAAATCATAATATTGACTAGTGTGACGGACCAGAATGAATAAAGTTAAACACCAATATTAGTTTTATTTACTCATAGATTTTTGTGTTGACGGCCATGTTAGCAACATCAATGATACAAAACAGGACGAAAACAACCAATATGGAGTTGTTTTAGCTGTCATAAGGAAAGAGCCAGAACCAGAAGATAATGACACTTGGACTTCTAATTATGTCGATAAAGATTCCCAGATCCAACCACCTTCATATTCACTGGGTAAAAGGGGTTCCTTCCTGCGGAAGTAAAGGCGCTTCTCAGAAAGTACGAAAGGAATATATACGTTGGAAGATCTAGGCATAGATGGAAAAATTATATCAAAATCGATGTTAAAGAACAAGGGTGCTAACTGAATTCATCTAGCTCAGAACAGGGACCAGAGGCGGGGCATTTCTTAGGAAAGTGGGCTACTATCAGTGTCTCAAGATGATCTTGGCCCAAAAGAGTTTATGTGCAATATATAATATATTACTTCAACGGCACACAAACGTCACAGAAATTTACATGGCGCCGTATGGAAGAGGCTGAGTGACAAGTTTTAAGTAACAGCCGTGATTTGTATGTTTGAATCGAGTGGCTACAGTCGTCTCCGGTCCTCAGTACATGCCGCTGGCCTTGAGCCGCTTTGAATTTGGGATGCAAATGTCATACCGCAATATAAAATATTATGGGCCTGAATAGCCTTATTAAGATATAAAAATTGTATCTGAAGCATTCGAAACACGAGAAAAGTTATGCCTCCATAACGCAAGGAAAGAGCTCTGATGGGATAATTACATTCACACAATTGGGTGGCGGGAACTCTACAGCGTAGTGTTCCGATGGATCACGAGTGGCGGGTTCTCAAAAATGACTCAGCCCCATGGAGTCTGATAGCTTGCCTCCCTCGCTATAAAGTTAATCTGCTTTTGTCAAATGTTTTGGTAAAATGAAACACTTAAATGAACAAGATCTCCCATTTACGTCATGCCACGTCGATACCTACAGCGCTTCACTACGATAAAAGGTAAAACTAAAGTTATCCCTGCACTTAATTAAGCACTACGCCATGAAGACGTGTGGGGATGCAGAAGCACAGCTCCGCCATTATTAACCTCTGTACTAGACAGAAGTGAACGGCCACCTTCACGCTCCTGCCTCTTTACTCCCGGTAGCCACTGGATGAAGCCGGCCTGGACGCTATGGAGAAGACAGAAATCTCTTGTCTCTACCGGGAATCAAACCCCGATTCCTCGGTTGTGTAGCCTAGTCGTTACACCGACTCAACTATCCTGGCTCCGGTATCACTGACACCGATAAACGATAACCTGACGCTATGATAACCCCATTTACTTATGAATATCAACTGAAGTGATACAGCAGAGGGCACAACTGGTTTTCTTCAGTCCTTAAACTTCGACTGGTCTATGGCTTTCTTCCGAATCCTTTCCTAGTCATCTATACCGACTGAGCCACTCCGACTCATGCAAACTCCGCGACAGCCGCTCAGATTAGGCCATTTTCAGTTCATTATTCATGCCACGCTACATACTATGAGCTAGAGACATAGAGAAACTCCGGGCCTTTAGTCCGCAAGCGAACTATACCGACCGACCGAGCAACCGCCGCTTGTCGGCGAACTTAGTGCCAACTTTAGCGGATAGAGGACGTCGCATGATTAGCGCATCGAATTCCCACGGCCGTTAATTTCGGTTTTCTAGCCCAGAGTCGCTACTTTCCCATTCATGTAGCTCCTCAATTATCCTCACGAGGCTAAATGTACCCCGTTCCAGACCAACTACTTCTCAGAAAGTGTGATAGCGCCGGGAATCGAACCAGGGACCTCTGGATCTATAGCCAGGAACTCTGACCACTAGACCACAGGGGCGGTCATGAGCTACAGATATTGTTGCTAAAGATAACGGTGAAATTGTCCCGGTGCTTAATTCAGCACCACGCCCTGAAGATGTCATTAAATAATAATACAAAAATGAAGCTACACCTGTAAGAGGCCGTGGAGTCCCATAGGGTTGTGAGACGCCGAAGCTCCGAATTTTTCTAGACAACAGGCTTACAGATGGCGGTGAGGTTGTCAGCCTTACGCGCCGGCCGCGCTCTACCCCCAGGAAGATTCCTGGTACTCATTTCTGTTAGAGGCTGAGTCGACCCCAGGGCCATAATGCGGCTGGAAAGATTAGGTCAATTCAAAAAATCCAATGACCTCATCGGGGCTTAAATCCGCGACCTTCCGGCTTGTAGCATAGTGCCTCAACCAACTGCGCTACCGCGTGCCCCAGCATTAAAAAGTAGACACATGAATAAAAATATGAATACCATTCGAAGAATCAGATGAAACAGGCGCATCAGTGAAGGCATGAACCACTGCATTTATGCTTTGAAACTGAAAATATTTAGCTACAAACGGAAAGACTACACAAAGGAACATTAAGTTGCATGGTTCTTATCACACGTTTAATTTCCTTTCGTCTCCGCATTCGTTTTAAAATTTAAAACCTATTTTGTGTAACTTCCGTGTTACGTCTTGTCTGATATATCAATAAAACGTAATTAAAATAATTGGCTTTGCTTATTTCATTGAAACCGCGCATATTTCCATCTAACCTCCAAAAGACATTTTCAAAAATATGTTCGTTTTAAGAGATATTTTCTCCGCTTTTAAAAAATATGACAGCTTTAAAATAACGTAAAATACGTCAATCAATAAATGACAGACGAACAAAGCGAAAAGAAATACACCAACTTCTGTTCACAATGCCGTTACAAATTAAAAAAAGGGGGGGGGGGGGCGGAATGCAACTGTAATATATAACTGACAAACTTTCCGTTACTGGCTGTACCAAACACCGGACATTACGGCTAGAAACCGCACTTCCGGGCAAACGGAAACCGGACAACAGACATTCCATAAGTTTTCATTTTTGGACAGACATGCACATTAGGTTTACGTTTAATTGGTGAATTGTGTTTTGGCGTAATGAAAGAAAACACTTTCGCCATGCTGTACCAGGGAAACAAGACCATAGTTAGCCAGGGTGGGGGGTGTTGGCAGGGGGCTCCCCACGACCAAGCTACCACCCTCAAAAATCAATAGCAGTGACACAACGTTGCCAGGTCTACCGCCAACAAACCATGTTCTATAAATGGGATTCCACGTTTCTCATATTATTCAATCAATCGGTCGCCAAACCTCGTGACAATGTAAATACACACACAAATTCTTCCGTGAATACGACACATAAAGAAACGTGGCCAAGCTTTCCATTAGCTCACTGAACATTTTACTCCGAAACAGCTATTTATAACGGCTCTTCTAGACATAAAATATTCGTTCCCTTCTATACATGCGACATTATCCAAACACTAAACAGTAGGATGCAATACCAAAGTTCGTAACTTCTCGTGTCTTGATTACAGTTTTCGAAATGAATGACAGGCAAACTTCGACTTTCATTCGTCTTTTAATTTAATCGTGAACCTTATTTCTGTACCGAGTAATGGTAAGGTAAAGTTGTCCCTACTACAGGTAGAGGCATTGCGATGAGCTGATCACCCACCCAAGGAGTCCTACCGAATGTGTAAGATCTAGAAAAACCGAAGTGAACGGAGAAGTTCATGGAGGTAGGCCTAGGCCCACTGGGGCTGTAGTGCCAAGGGGGAAAAAAATGTTTCCCTTATGCTTAATTAAGTAAACAACACGCCATGAAGACATGAGGCAGTGGAGGTATGGCTCCACCATTTTTGACCTCGGGACTGGATGGAGATGAGGGGTCAGCTTCACACACCAACAACTTTACCCTTCGCGATATCGTCCCCGGCACCATTGAGTAGAAAGCTGAGTGGGCCCCAGAGAAAAATCTTTCCCCTGCTGAGAATCGAACCCCGGCCGTTCAGTCCGTAGCCGGTCGCTATCCTGAATCCCTTTCTGTACAGAGTTACAATTCACAATTAAAATACGCATACCCGTTTTTACAGCGGGCATCCGGTCGAGGCACTATGCTGCAAGCCGGAAGGTCACGGGGTAGATTGTCTATGAGACCGATGGATTTTTCAATTTACCCAATTCTTTCAGCCGCACTATGGCCCTGGGGTCGACTCAATGTCTAACAGAAATGAGCACCAGGAATCTCTGTGGGGGTAAAGGGCGGCCGTCGAGCAAGGCTGACAATCTGACCACCATCTGTGAGCTCACTGTCCAGAAAATGTGGAAACCTTGACGTCTCACAACCCTAAGGGCCTCCACGGCCTGTTACAGGGATACCTTTACCTTTTTTACCCGTTTTTACACACCTGCTACCTACTACTATGCTATTTATCAATTAATCAATTAATTCCACAAACAGTTTTCAATAGGGCACACTCATAATTCTCTGGAATGAGAAAACGCAAAACCGCAAGCTAACAAACAGGTATTACATTCTTGTAAACATGGATTCACCTTTGACGGTCATTTGTTACCCAAGCCATTATTTTAATAGATTTTATGCTGAAAATACTTTGTACGTGATAAAGTATGATTCGCTGCAACCACTTCCCAACAATAATACTAACAAGCCCAGCCTCCCTCTCAAAGTTAAACAACAAAATGTGAAGGTGGTGTTACAAAGAAGATGAACAACAAAATAAAAAGAACAGGAAACATTCGATCCTCACAAGAAATACGCCACATCCACAGTGACGGTTTCTATACCGACAATGAAGGGGGCATACACATAAGACTAAGATCAGTTCCCAACAAAAGTTAATTTATAATGTGGCACATTTCAGGTGGCAGCCCGTCAATTAAAATCAGACAGCCCATACTGACCAAGATCTGAAAATAGTACCCCCAAATACATGACCACCGAACTAACCCGCGCTCTGTAACGTGCCATACTTCTGAAGCTCTTGGCACAAAATAATGCTCTTTAAACTGACAGGGCGTATCATCCGAGCTGATTCTAAGAAATCTGACTCCACAATTAGAATCCTCACGTAAATGAGGATGAGGCTGACAGGGCATGTAGCATGCATGGGGCAAAGATGAATGCGTACACGGTTTTGGTGGGAATACCAGAAGAAAGGAGGTACGATAAGAGGGAAAGTTGTCCCTGCCTTNTCATCCAAATAAATAAGGGCTCAGAATGATCAGCGTCAGTATAGCTCCACCATTGACCTCGGCATTAGACGGAGGTGAGCGGTCATCTTCACGCCTCGGCCGCTCTAACTCCGGGGAAATGCCCCCAACCACCCATTTTGATAAGAATCTGGTTGGACCCTACAGCCGGTCTGGGCGCTGTGGAGATGAGAAATTCTGGACTGAATGTAACAAGCTTTACCCGAGTTCAACTTTACCTTTCCTTTCAATGCCTCCCTTCCAACTTCAATCACCCGACCGTATATAGGTAGGTCCCCGGACTGCCTCTGCCACTGCGGCAACAATGCAGTTCATACAGAATATTTCAACGGTGCATATATTATTATAAGTATACAAGTACAAAAAGAATTCTTTCCCTCATGATGTTCTGAATTATTCTTCAAATTACACCTAGAGGTGCATCTGCTCACGCTGGTTCCTCGCTAGCGCATTTTCCTGCCTGAAGATGTAGGCGGTATGTTCCTTCGAAACGTCGGTTCACACAAGATCTACACGGCGCCGCATCCAAGAAGATGGCATTGATCATAGTCACCGCCGTGATAATCTTAAAATTTTACTTGTTTAAAGACGTTCTTAAACCCAAATGGTTGCATAACCTGGGATGGAGGGCTATTAATAATGAACCGAAGATGTTGGATCTGCCCCTGCGTTTGCTGGAACGGCGGAAGTAAACCAATAAACGCTTCGGGCACGGCAGACCAACCTGTAGAAACATTAACCTGCAACTGCTGTTTGCTTCTTCACAGAGCACGCGGAAACTTTCTAACCTTCCACTCGCGTCGGGGAGCGACGGGCTCACGGCACTCCCCACAGCCCTACATTTTAGGAATTCAAGACAAACTGCAATTCTGCTTTAACTAAAGAGTTCAGGACTTGGAAGAACAATTTCATAAAGCCTGGCCCAACAACATAATATTTACAAGAATTCAGTAATGAGAAACGGAAAGTCGATTAAAAACACGATGTCACAAACCACGCTTCTGCCACGTTTAGGACCACATTGACCACATTCGCACCCCCTGTTAACGAGCCCGTGCAACTTCAGCTAATATTCACTTGTCTTTATCTCTCTATTGTATACCACTGCATGTTTCGGGCTACCTGGCCATCATCTTCCTGTGCTTAACTAATTAAGCTCTACGCCATGAAGACGTATGGGGGGAGTGAAGTAAAAAGGTAAAGATATCCCTGTACAGGCCGTGGAGGCCCATAGGTAAGATGTTGAGGTTCGCACATTTTCTAGACAATCTGCTCATAGATGGCGGCAAGGTTGTCAGCCTTGCACGCCGGCCGCCCTTCACCCCCAAGAATATTCCTGGTACTCATTTCTGTTAGAGGCTGAGTCGACCCCAGTGCCACAGTGCGGCTGCAACGATTAGGTCAATTGAAAAAATCCACCTCATTGGGATTCGATCCAGCGACCTTCCGGTTTGCAGCATAGTGCCTCAACCAACTTCGCTACCGCGTGCCCCCGTATGGGGGAGTGTATGTATAAATTCATATTTTCTTGGCCTCGACATTAGTTGGAGGTGAGTGGTCAGCTTCACGCCCCTGTCGCTTTACCCCCCCCTACCCACTGGATAGGAGGCTGGGTGGGCCCAACAGAAGGTCTGGACGTCGTGGAGAAAATTGACACAACCGGGACTCGAACTCCGACCCCTTGGGCGTCCAGCCTGTAGGCAGTCGCTATACGACTGAGCTATGCCGGCTCTTTATCTGTAATATGTGATGAGTTATATTAGTTTTATTTTACGGTACATAGTTATGTATATTCTGTCTTTGGTTTGTTCCTTTTTTCTTCGGTTCAGTGTGTAGGAGCTGGGATAGCTCAGTCGGTATAGTGACGGGCTGGACGGCGGGGTTTCTATTACCGGCAGAGGCAGAGAGAATTTTCCCTGTAACATCCGGACCGAATCTGGGGCCCACCCAACCTCCTATCCAGTGGGTACCGGGGGATCTTTCCCGGGAGTAAAGTGGCAGGGGAGCGAAGATGACCACTTACCTCCAGCTAGTACCGAGGTCAAGACTGCTGGAGCTATACCCCCACATTCCTATACGTCTGCATAGCGTCGTACTTAATTAAGCACAGGCCCAACTTTACCTCAAGCAGGTTTACTGACAACGTCCATGTGGGCTATCAAGTGGCTATCCTACTCACCTATCCAGAAGCGTCGTGTAGGGCCCGTTTCTATAGAGACGGTCCCTTGTGCGACCCCTCAGAGGATCAGCTACGTGGTAAGTCGTCGCCGAGCGCCGAAGGTAGGCGTCTCCCTCGCGACGCTCGTAGAAGTGACTAGACCGATCGTCAGGCCTTGAAATAACAGAAAGGAAACAACTTTAAAAATAAAACACACAACAAATATTGGTATTAAATCCGAGCTAAACTTCAAATTTGGTTTTCAACATTTTTTCGGAAGCTACCAGTCTATTCAGTTCTGGAACAGTAACTGCAAAGAACACAAATGTTTCGGGCGACCAACTATTCAGCAGCAGCGCGTGCGACACACGTATAACAATATGACAAAGAAAAACTGAACCTAGGAGCGACAAGTGTGGAATGAAGAACAGCCCACAGGACGGAAGGAAAATGCCCGTATGTGTATCATTTCCGGAAGTGACCGCACGGTACGTCCGGTGTGCATCGTAGTACGAAACATCCCGTTCCGAAGGCCGTAAAAATAATATAACCATCAGAAACAAATTATCACAGCACAGGTACATCATAATGCAAAGGTTTCGAATACATGGATTGCTTTACTTCTAATTATACTTGGAGAAGGGTACAAGTTATGAAGCTCCTCATTATGCAGTTTTCTCCAACCTCCTGTCACTTCCTCTCTCTTCGGTCCAAATATTCTCCTCAACACCTTGTTCTCAAACACCCTCAGTCTATGTTCCTCTCTTAATGTCAGAGACCAAGTTTCACGCCCATACAAAAGCATAGGCAAAATTATAGTTTTGTATATTCTATTTTTTATGTTTTTTGACAGCAGACAAGACAAAAGGTTCTGGACTGAATGGTAGCAAGCATTACCCGAGTTCAATCTCCTCTTAATTTCCTCCTGAATCAGGTTTCGATCTGTTATAGTCATTCCCAAATATCTGAATTGCGTCACATTTTCAAAACATCTGTTTCCTATCTTTATATCATGATTTTGGGCTGCATTTTGGCGAAGAGACAGCAACATATGCTTAGTTTTCTCTGTGTTTACTTCTAGGCCAACCTCTTTACTTGTGTCAATTAAAGTTTGTATGTTTCTCTTTATGGTATCTACACTGTCACCCAGTAGATTCACACCATCGGCATAGGCCAACAGCTGATGTGTCCCGTTTCATTTCAGTCCCATCTGGTTTCCCTGGACCTTCCTAATGGCATATTCTGAAGCAAAGGTGAAAAGGAGTGGCGCTAAAGCATCTCCTTGTTTTAAACCATTCTGGATAGGAAATTTATCAGACAAATGTTTACCTACACGGACTTCACTATACGTTTCGTTTAAACACATTTTAATCAACCTAACTAGTTTCATGGGTATCCCAAACTCTATCAGAATACTGTACAATACTTCCTTTCTAACTGAATCATAGGCTTTCTTCAAGTCTATGAATAGCTGATGTATTGTCTCATCGTACTCCCATTTTTTCTCCAATATCTGACAAATGCAAAAGATCTGATCTGTAGTTGATCTGTTACGTCGAAACCCACACTGATGATCCCCAATAATTTCATCTATATATAGACTTAACCTTGAGAGAAGAATATTGGATAGAATTTTGTATGAAGTTGATAGCAGTGATATCCCCCGATAATTACTATAGTCAGTTTTATCCCCGTTCTCATGAACTGGTACAATAATAGACTCCTTCCATTGATCTGGCAATTCTTCCTTATTCCAAATAGAAGTAATTAGATTGTGCATCTTAGAATGTAATATTTCACCTCCTGCTTGAATAAGTTCTGCCGGAATTATCACAACACAGTATGTAAATGTTTAATGAGAATTACGTACTGAAATGCATTATGGAGCATTAACTAAATCAGCGTACGTAACCATGCAACTTCTTCCTCCGTAAAAAAAACGGAAAATATTCAATATTCAGATCCTGTTAGGCTGCAGATAAAAGTACGTTGTGGGAAAGCCATTTAGAATATCGATATTCTGGATTTATTTTTCCTTGCTATATGTCCTTTAAAACGAGGCATTATGTGGTCATGTCTCTGTCTGTCACCTAGCAACGGCGCCTAAACCGTTGGTCAGACTTATTTAAACTTTTAAAGCTCAATGGCTACTATATGTACCGTCTCCTTCAAAAAATCAGAACGTTTCATTCTGCCCGCAGCGTGTGTCTGTGTGCTTCGTACGGTGCTCACGATAAACAACGATTATTTCCCTAAACAGCATTAACCGGTTGGACTTGNATTGTTGCAAAATTCCCTAAGAGATATGAAATCATGTCAGTCAACTTGGTCATTTTCATTTTTGCTACACTGATCGATTATAAAACATGTTTAAGACATATGGTCGTAAACAAACCGTTTCGTGTACATCATAAACCGTTAATCAAAATTTTGTTCAGTTCAATATGAGCCAGCTGTGCATAAAGACGGCCGTTTTCAATTTTGGCCACACCGACCGATTCTAAGGCCCAGTTTACACATGGCTATAGGATCTAAACCGACACTGTGCATTATCAAACTACTGATACATTAATTTTAATCGTTTTATCTAATACTGCGTATACCAAAATGATGTGAGCCGTTTCAAGCAGCCATAACTGGTTTGGAAATACACGCAGAGGTAAGTTGGCCACATGGAATGAAACCGTAGGTATTCAAGTTTTGGGCGCATGCGCAATCCCACTCCCCTCCCCCCTCTCAAACTCGGTCCGTGGCGTTACAAAGAGAATATGTCGGCTACGGAGCAGAAACCGTTTTGTGTGCGGCAGTTTGCGAAGCATGAATCAGTTGTTTCTGTTCAGCGGGCCTTCAGGCGACAATTTCAGAGTAATCCCACATCGGCGAACAGCATCAGGCGTTGGTATCAGCAGTCTCAGGCTACGGGGTACCTCTGTAAAGGGAAAGGTGCAGGACGTCCGCGTGTCAGAAGAAAGTGTGGAACGAGTGAGAGTCTTTTCTTCGCAGTCCGAAGAAATCTGTGCCCCATGCGAGTCGAGAACTGGAGATGTCCACTTACGACTGTGTGGAGGGTGTTGGGAAAGAGACTGGAAACGAAGCACTGTCGTCTTCACTTGGTGCAGTTTCCTCAATCACTTCGGTATACGACGTATATATTTTTTAGCCTTACAACTGCAAAAACGCCGTTGCAGCGCCTACTACATTATGCAGCATGCCCTTCGCCATCTTATAATTCAGTAAATATTCCCCACATTGACAGATATTTCTCATAAATAGCTGAAAGATGTCTGCAGCCATTTTATGATGTGTTAAAACTCTTAGAGGTAGAATTCCTAAGATAATATAATTTTACTGACCTGTACAAAAATTAGGACCGCCTCTGTGGTCTAGCGGCCAGAGTTCCTGACTACAGATCCAAAGGTAGCGGCTTCGAATCCCGTAGCTATTAGATTTACTGAGAAGTAGTGAGTCTTAAACGGGGTCCACCCAGCCTCGTGAGGATAACGGATGAGCTATTTCAAGGAAATAGCGGCTCCGGTCTAGAAAACCGAGATTAACGACCGTAGGGATCCGTTGCGCTGACCACGTGACACCATCTATCCACAAAATTTGGCACTAACTTCGCCGACAAGTGGCGGCCGCTCTGTCGTTTGCGGACTACATGCCACGGAGTTTTTTTTAAATCGAGGTTAACAAACCTGAACAAATAAATTCGCTAGTAAACTTGTAGTGCAGATTCAGAATTCCAAACATGAAGATTCTATGGGCAGATTCAGAGATGAAGCAGCGGACAGACAACCATGCACACAAATCTTCCCAATAAACCTCAATGCTGTGCTATTTGCGTAAAGATCGTAAAACGTTTCGCAATCTATCCTGAAACCAAATTTCGGATATTAAGCTATAAAATGCATCAGTTATTAACACAGAAGATATAACTTACACCTATTACACCAATAATGGTCGTGAAACAGCTCAAGCTTAGGTTCAGGGAACTATGCTGAGCAAATGGCACTAGTACAGGATTTCTCTTACAAAACGCAGGTATTTCTCCACTAATTATTATAGCTCCATACTCCCTGGGTGGTACGACAGGCTATCCAAACCTGCACATTATCCACTTCTCTGTTTCTAGCCCTGGTCCAGGACTCGGAAAAAATTTTTCTTCTTACGATGACAATGCTTTGCAGGTTTCGTTGGTGTTGCTGATGCGTTTCTTTCGTAATATGCACCTGCCTTCGTTGTTTCCACTCCACACTTGTTAGACAATGCGCATCCTAAGAATATTAATTTAATTTTAATATTTTATTCTGTCATTCTCATTACTTTTCGCTTAGTGGGGGGTGGAGTCCAGCTCGGTCCACTCGGCACGGCGGCCACTGATTGGCCTATTTCACCTGCCCCGACTGATTATGATGATGGAGAATTTGGTGGAATGAAGATTGGCAGGGGAAACCTAAGTACTAGGAAAAAACCCGCCACTGTGTCCACCACAAATCCCACTTGACCAGACCCGGGAACGAACCCGGGCCGCCAATGTGGGAAGCCAGCGACTAACCGCTTGAGCTATGGCGCGGCCTTACTCTCATTAGTTACTAGGCACTCATTTCTAAAATATCAATTCACTAATTGCAATACACAAAAAGTCAATCTGGTTAAATGCGCCCCAAAGAAGTACAAACACATTCACGTGCTTACGTGTAGGCCTATACACACGCACCCGTACATAAAACAAGTTCTGGGGAAATCTAATCGCCTTCTTTTCTTTGATACGACATGGACCGCATAGAAAACGAGGCGCCCAACAATTCTTCTACTGTCGCGTGTGTACTATTTGCTGCGGTAACGTTTTCACCTAGCCGTTGCCTAGCAAGGATATGGGGACACACAGACTGGTGTGAGGAATTTATGAAGTACGGCTTTCAGATCGGTTCAGGTGCCAAGATATATACACACCAAGTTTCATACAGACTGGTTCAGCCATTCGAAAGTTGATTGGGGAGGGGGATACACAGACACACAGCATGATGATCTCGTAAGACTAATTTTTATTTTTTGAGAATAAGGAAAGTAGGCTAGTAAAAGTTTATAATAACGAGTCATTACTGCGCCGTTAAATAACGAACTGTATATTTTCGTGCGGCCAAATGGAAAAGGCTGAACAACGCCCAGTCTAA